GGTAGAGGGGTCTAAATTCAGCACAAACAACATTTTTCCAAAAGACCAAAAAAGTGAAAAAGTATTTTAAACAAAACACATTTGACTAACAGGTCGAACAATGGATGTTCTTAAACCCTACTGACTGCCATTGGCGATTGCCAAATAAACGGATCACAAGATGTAACAAAATGGATCTTTATTATTAATTTAATACCAAACAGAAAACAATAAACTTGCGGAAAAGATGGTATACCGCAAACATGAGGTGCAAAAATTTGTACACCATATCCGGATTTCGACAATTAATGTCTCTTCAGTGATGTTTGGAATCGAAACGGTATTTGGAAGGCATATATATATATTTTTCGATCCCTTACATCACTGAAGAGACATTAATTGTCGAAATCTGGATATGGTGTACAAATTTTTGCACCTCATGTTTGTGGTATACCATCTTTTCCGCAAGTTTATTGTTTTCTGTTTGGTATTAGATTAATATTAAGATCCTTTGTTACACCTGGTGATCAATTTATTTGGCAATCGCCAATGGCAGTCAGCAGGGTTTAAGAAAATCCGTTGCTCGACCTGTTAGTCAAATGCGTTTTGTTAAAATTTACTTTTTCATTTGTTTGGTCTTTTGTAAAATGTTGTTTGTGCTGTATTTAGACCCCTCTACCAAGAAATTTGTTTTACATGCACACGTATAAAAATTGCGGTTTTTATCCTACGCAATCAAAGGTTTGAACGTTGTTTTCAATTTAGACTTGTTTATATTTTTTCGTTTGAGCTTGTATTATATTTTCCATCGGGTTTAAATGATCCGTTCATCCTATTTCGACTCTTTAAAATTCAAGAGTCTATCCTAAATTGAGGTAAATTATATGGCCTTCCAAATACCGTTTCGATCCCTAACATCACTGAAGAGACATTAATTGTCGAAATCCGGATATGGTGTACAAATTTTTGCACCTCATGTTTTTGGTATACCATCTTTTCCGCAAGTTTATTGTTTTCTGTTTGGTATTAGATTAATATTAAGATCCTTTGTTACATCTGGTGATCAATTTATTTGGCAATCGCCAATGGCAGTCAGCAGGGTTTAAGAACATCCGTTGTTAGACCTGTTAGTCAAATGCGTTTTGTTAAAATACACTTTTTCATTTTTTTGGTCTTTTGGAAAATGTTGTTTGTGCTGTATTTAGACCCCTCTACCAAGAAATTTGTTTTACATGCACACGTATAAAAATTGCGGTTTTTATCCAACGCAATCAAAGGTTTGAACGTTGTTTTCAATTAAGACTTGTATATATATATATATATATATATATCAGAGCTCGCATCAACATTCTAATTTTGTGTGAATCATACAATTCAATTAGTTCATTCCAACATTCAGCATTATGTAGGAATTTTATATTGGAGTGTGAGGGACATAACTTCCCGAGAATGAGTCTAAACTCCACCCCCTAAAAGATATTTAAATGATAAATAAAAAAATTAAATGAATAATAACAAATATAAGCAAGCCTTTTTGTGGATTTCAAAAAGTCAAACTGAAACATGTTTCAAAGCTGCACACAGAAATTAAAAATTCTTCACTTTCAGTAAAGCTAGGTTGCATACAAATGTAACCTGTTAAATCTTTTACTACTTGAACCTTATTGAAGAATAAATAAACAGAACAGTTTGATAAAATTTGAATCTTCCCGTGACACTAGACGGGTGTCTTTGGTCGTTTATCAAAATGCAATGCAACATTAAAAACTACTTTTATTAGCATAGAAAAGCTATAAGTACAGTTATGAGCACTCGGGCAGATACAACCGTATAAGAAATTTGAATCATTTTTTTACGGATGGAAAATAAAGTTTTTGTGGTTATTACGACTGCTTTTAAAAGTATTTATGAAAAACCCGTACTGTGACAGTGGTATTTTTCATCGTTAGTACTGCTTACTTCGTCAAAATAAATATCTGTTATTCAGTATAATTACATTCTTTGATAAACTTTCACATTGGATTAAAATATTAGCCATGATCCACAATGTGAAACTTTTTGGCGAATGAGCGCATTATTTAGCCACCCATCTAGTATCACAGGAATTATTATACCTCACTGTATAATTGAATAAATATTTTGGCTAATAAAAAATCACGCGGTGTGAGTTAATTCGGATATTTTTGTCCAAATCGTCAGGGACGGTGAATAACCTCGACAAATTGTACTCTCCGGTGAGTAACCCTATTATTCACGCACCGCCGTTATTAATTTTATCTTTTTCCACAGGGCAAATTGAATATCAATATTTTATGTTCTTCTCATATATTTTATGATGGTATGATACTAAACCCCTAACGGGAGGGATTGTGCTTGATTTTCATATGATGAAGACATAATCTTTCAATCAGTTTAATTGAGGTTTGGATCTGGCATGTCAGTAACTGCTAGTAGTCCTTTGTTAATTTATGTATCATTGTCATTTTGCTTAGATTCTTTTGTTACCTATTCTGACATCGGACTCGGACTTCTTTTAAACTGAGTTTTACTGTGCGTATTGCTGTGTGTTTGTTTATTCTACATTGGCTAGAGATATAGGGGGAGGGTTGAGATCTCACAAAACATGTTTAACCCCGCCGCATTTTTACGCCTTTCCCAAGTCAGGAGCCTCTGGCCTTTGTTAGTCTTGTATGTTTTTTAATTTTAGGTCATTTATATGTTTTGGAGTTTAGTGTGACGTCTATTTTCACTGGACTAGTACACATTTTTGTTTAGGGGCCAGATGAAGCCTGCCTCCGGGTGCGAGATTTTCTCGCTGTGTTGAAGACCCATTGGTGGACTTCGGCTGTTTTCTGCTCTTTGGTCGGGTTGTTGTCTCTTTGACACATTCCCCATTTCCATTCTCAATTTTATTGTTTGGTATAATAAAACAGTTACGGCATTATGAGTCGGGAGATATCCAAAATTGTCAACCCTCATCAGGGTTATTCACCTCGGGCTAAAGCCCTCAGGAAAATAACCCATAGTAGTGTTGACAATTTGGATATCCTCCTCCTCAGAGGGCTGCAATTGTATACCGTTAAGGTGCAATAAAATTGATTAATTTGTGTTAAAAAAGTTTCACATTGTTTCGAACGGTTGATATTCTATGATATCTATAATTAAGTAGAAAACCATCGTTCTATTACTGGTCTTTTTCCTCCTCTCTTAGACGGTTTTACGCATGACGAAAGCAAGCTTGATATCGTCTCCTCACACATTCTGAAGTCGCTGATAACTTCTCCTCAGACATCGTGATATCGCTGATAATACCTGATCATGTCTGGAACTAAGCCGTGATATCTATACGTAGAAAACCTGATAATTTGTTTATCGTTCTATATATATCTTTCCCCTCTCTTATACAATGTTACGCATGACAAAAGCAAGCTTGATATCGTCTTTTCACACATTGTGACGTCGCTGATAACGTCTCCTCGAACATTGTGACGTCGCTGATAACGTCTCCTCTTACATTGTGACGTCGCTGATATCTTCTCCTCATACATTGTGACGTCGCTGATAATGCCTGCTCATGTTTCAAAGCCGTAATACGAAAATTACGGAGCGACTTAGCAGGATGATATAGGCGAAGGGAAAGACAATAAATATAAATCATCTTGCCCTGAATATGCAAATACGGAAAACAAAAATTCTATGCTTTCAAAATTAAATTTTAAAATTCCATTCATAATTGACTAGGTCTATGTAATCTGGACCCTTTAGTAAATGTGCACAGCAATATCAGATTTTCACTTTGAAGTTGAAAATAAAATATTTTACTTTAAAATAGACGTTTTAAACCTGGTTTATGGCAAACTTATTATGAGCAACAGTGTTAACCATCAAGATATTTTACCCACCTTTGCATCTTTGTATAAATTATCTTATCTTTCTTGGTAAGGCTGTGACTCTAACTAGCACTTTCATTTGAAGTGCGAAATGTAATCATATATATATATATACATTAGTTTACAGGGCCTTTTTGTGTCTTCTCCGTTTACGCGATTTTAGGTGGACTTTAATACAACTAACATCTCCCATCAGCATCGTGGTTCCCAATGCAAAACTAACGTAGGTGGTTTGTATTATATCTCTTCGTACACCCTTCTTGTATTTTTATACATATTTGATGTGGTCATATCCCATCCATTAGTAAAACCTGCGCGAAAGAGAGGCATTTGTTTTGCTTCGTGTATTTATACTAATCCAACCCATCGTGAAGAGTGTACCGGGTCTAGGGGGAACTGTTTTATCCCTCGTGTAGAGAGAGAACCACGATTTGATGTACCGGGTCTTAGATGAACTATTTTAAAGGAAAAATGTCTGCGTCTTTCCAGATTGGTAGACTTAATTTCATGTTTTTCCTCTGCCTATTGGATTCATCTATTCTCGCCGTGAATATACATGAAATAGTTGACACTGGACTTTAGACAACTACAATTTACAAATAAGTAATTAAAAGTATATTGTTCTTTATTAAGTCGGAACAAGACAATTATTGTCAGTAAGTGTGGATAGTATGTGCTATGCATTATTAAGTCAATCGGAACAAGACAATTATTGTCAGTAAGTGTTGATGGTATGTGCTATGCATTATTAAGTCAATTCGAACAAGAAAATTATTGTCAGTAAGTGTGGATGGTATGTGCTATGCATTATTAAGTCAATCGGAACAAGATAATTATTGTCAGTAAGTGTGGATGGTATGTGCTATGCATTATTAAGTCAATCGGAACAAGATAATTATTGTCAGTAAGTGTGGATGGTATGTGCTATGCATTATTAAGTCAATCGGAACAAGATAAGTATTGTCAGTAAGTGTGGATAGTATGTGCTATGCATACGCATTAAAGACCATTCTAGTTAAACTCATTTATTTTACTAGTTTGTTGTCATAGATAAAAAATTTTTTGCATTATAACAACTTAAGATATAGTTTTCCTGCTCGGATTTGAAATTTCATTCATCATATTTTCCAGATGAAAATGTTGACAGTCGTATTCAGTCTCTTCTTGATGCGTTGGTAAAGAAAAAAAAATCAAGTGAACAGGTAAGACAAATATTTTGGCAGGATTTATTAAGATTATGATTAAATCGATTTATATTTTTCCTGGTTGAATCATGTTTTTTTTGTGGCGGACACTTGTTTTGTTTTTGTCCTTTCCTTTATGCGTCTGTTCATCCCACAGATTCATTACATAGACGCAAAATCTTCAATATTTCTTACTTTGTATCTGATTGACTCTTGTCTTTGGTACACTTCGCAATGAAATAAAATACACCTTGACCGAATACACAAAGTCATGTGTCTTTTTCATGGTAAGTTTTACAGGACAAGAACATAACGTTATATGTGGAAGAATTGACAAATGTGGCCATATTTACACCACAAAACTTAACTCTGAGTACACACAAACATGTGCACCTGGAAAAGTTTTAAGGTTTGGCTGGACCTACAGTTTATGAATATCAATATATCATGTCGCAATGTGTATAATTGCAAAATTAACACCTTTTCTAAAAATGCTTGTAATTGGGCAAGTTAAAACTTTTCTAAAATAAACTTTTGATTAGGAAATTTGTAACTTTCTTAAAGAAGTTGTAATAGGACAATGAATAGCTTTTACTGAAAAGATGCGCTTCTCAAATATGATTTTATAAAAAATTGGGGTATTTTGATACTAGTATTGTAGCTTAATCCATTCAGAATAGCCATTGTTGCATAGAAATGGTAATAAGGTTAATCAAAGTACTGAAGTACTGAACATCGGATGACCACAAGTTCTTTAGGATGGTCAAAAGCACTTGTCTCAGAAAAAAACAACATATCTCTTTACCTAAAACTGAGGTTAATGTACAGAGGTATATTTTTTTCTGAGACAAGTTCGTGCGTGGATGTTGAATAAATGACAGGAAATTCAACTTCACCGTAATAACTATTATATTGTAGTGATACAAATCAGTATACACTGAGTTGTTGTTTATATTATATTAAAATAACAGTTACATATATATATGATTTGAATCCATTTGTATATCATTCTATTCTACTATTCTAAAAATAGTGCAATGCAAGTGCATGGTGGACACTTTTCTGTAAAAATTCGATTTTTCTAAGATTGGATACGAGTAGGCATTCATATTTTCCCGCAAAATCAATTACAGAGTTACCGGTCCTTGACGGTATTTTCACAAAACGTTCTTTGAGATATTCTTCCGCATGCTTTAACACAATTTTTCGGTACGTTTGCATTGATATTATCAATGATTTTTTACTTATATATATATATCTAACTACAAAACATTTTCATATTATTAATTTATGTTGTAAACAAAAATATCTTTATCAGTATTCATTGAAGAGATGTATTTATATCAAACGATAAGGAATGTTATTTTGCACTCGTTTATGTGCGCGTATTTATCATGTTTATAGATCGGTTACAAACCCCAAACTAATTTACATAATGGAAATCTAGGCGATAGCAATACATCGGGATGACCTCAAGGTCATCACGATGTAAAAATCAAAATCAAAACAAATAGCTGAAACCACTAAAATTGGATAATTATTTTAGATATAGACAGTGCACTAATATGACATCATTCTAGACAAATATCAGCCAAGGGCGATAACTTCTTCTTTGAAAATAGAAATAACAATTTATAAATGCGATGTGTCCGAAGCGCTTATCTGAATTATATGGTAAAAAAAAGAATTTTTTTTTATTGTGTAATTTTAAATTGCATCAACCCTAATGCATGATTTACATTGAAAGGTTGCAAAAGAAGTACCAGGAAATGTTGCAGGTAGAAACGAAGGAAAGGTTGCAGGTAGAAACGAAGGAAAGAGACAAATAGAAATTTTAGAAAATGAGGTAATGTTGTGTTTATTATAGAAGTATAATTAACGTGTTAATCACAAATTTAAATTATGGTTAATCGTACTGGATATTAGATACTATTGAGTCCAAACATTTTTTTAGACAAAGTGTGATTATGACATCTTACACTAAATCCTTTGGATGTGTACTGATTGATATTATAGTATTGTAAACGTGATGTTTCCTTACATTGAATTTGTTAGTTGTAATTGGGCTTTGAACTAGCTTTCAGTTACTGCAAGTACTCTTAGATTGGTCATTTGTGTCTTTAGTATTTTCGTTTGTTGTTTCGTGTGCTTTATGTCGATCTGATGAGTTTATATAAAATACGAAGATGTGGTATCATTGGCAATGAGACAACTCTCCTCCCCAGACCTAATGACGTACAGGTTAACATCTATAGGTCACCGCACGGCTTTCAACAATAAGCCTTTTTCAATTCATTTTTACAGTTTGTTATTATGTTGTGTTGTTACAACACTGTCCCAGTTTATGGAGAGGGCCGTGCGCTAGCAAACACGTTAAACTCCGCCACATTCCTATGTGCATGTTCGAAATCAGTAGCCTGTCATTTAGTGGTTGTCGTTTGTTCATGTCTGTTATATACACGTTCTTCGTTTTTTGTTTGTGTACACTAAGACCGTTCGTTTTCACGTTAGAATTATATTACATTGTGTGGTGTCGGGGCCTTTTTTAACTGACTAAACGGTATGGGTTTTGCTCATTGTTGAAAACAGTAAGGTGACATATAGTTGCGTACATCTACGTAATTTGGTCTCTGGTGGATAGTTGTCTCAATTGCAATCATACTTCATTTTGATGAAGGTAAATCCAGAAAAGCGCTTCAGACGCAGCAAATTAATAAAGTGTTAGTTTTCCTCTTAAAGTTGATGTGTTTCCTCGGTTTTGGTTTGTGACCCAGATTTGTTTTCGCTTAATCGATTTATGACTATTGAACAGCGGTATACTACTGTTGCCTTTATTTAGTTTCATTTTTTCCGCTTCATATCTTAATTTTTATTTTTGTAAATTTTGTGTTGATGAACTTAAGAGCCAAAAAGATTTCATTTGAATTTGAAAGATAAAAAATCCCTTTTCTTCAGTTGTACATTTTACATATATCATAAATGTTCAAAATTTGTAAGAAATCTTTCATATCTTAGCTTTAATAAAATATATTACATATCAAGAATGCCACGTGTGATGTTTTCAGAACTTTTAAGAAACTATAATCTTCGAATTGTAGTAAAGATTACAAGATGTTTTGAAAATTACCTTATACAGTGAATTATATCAGGAAAATTGGTCCTTCGTCGGTATTGTTGACAATAATTAGGACTGAAAACAATATCTTACGGTGAAATGTTAACTCGAGTTTTGTGTCTGTTACAAGTCGGAATATTTCGACCACTCAGAGAGTTTAATGCATATGTTTCCTTCCTTGATAGACAGTTGATCCAGATTCAGAGGATATGCCACTTCTTAGCAGTTTCCAAGTCATAAAGCATAACATTAAATATAAGGTAACAATTATGAACAAATATTTATTTCGTTATCAATAATATTTGTTTTATTTATTTTTCTTTCCTTTTGTTTTGGTTGTTGTTAAAATGGTTTCATTTTATTAGCAAACATAGAAAATATACATTGTTTCTTATCAAATTATAAATATGCTTGCACATGACATCTACGAAAAATGTAATCTAATAGGAAATCAACCTGTTGTAGAAAACAGTCATTGGTCATATTTCACATTAACTAACACTCACATTCGCTGTCTATGTTGGATTTAGTGCAAATCAATTCACTGGCATTTATACACAGAAAGGCCGTGCTAATTTACTTTTTCAAATTTGATATAACAAATTAATAATTTGATATAACAGATTATCAATTTGATATAACAGATTATCGATTTGATATAACAGATTATCAATTTGATATAACAAATATTTTAAATTTGATATAAAAAAAAATATAAATTTGATAATATTTTGATTTAACAAATCATTTTTGCGTTGCTCATGGTCCGCGATCCCTAACCTATACATACACAGTTATTAAGCTGCTCAGATTATATATGTGTGATCTGTTCAACAGAAATTAAAAACTCCAGACGTATATATCCGAGCATCACGTGACGACATACTCGTTCTAGATCTCGCGCGTGGGTCTTTATTTTGAATAAAGTGTTTCCAAATCAAAAATAGATATTGCAATAAATTTATAAAGTAAAATACAAAGATGAATTTAAGGATGTTTGATTAATTCTTGCATGTTCCTATTGGAATTGATAAAGGATCATGCCAGGCTATTTAAGAAAGGGAAGCATTTTTTTTTATCCCCGCATGTTCCTATGTTCCTAGAAACACCAACATCTCAATAGAACTATTCATTTCGCTCTGACTTGAAAATGTGTAATATGAATTGATCAAAGATTTTTCTCTCTTATGTTTGTTCGTTCTAAGACACCAGGTCCCATGTACTAAATAGAGAAACTAATCCCCAAAACTGCTTCAAATAAAGGATAAAAAGGGGGGTGTCACTGGACGTCCAATAAACAATCGATCAATACAACAAATGCTCCAGTTTGGGTTACGCATCTTTCAATCAATCACTATTATGATTAAAAACTCATACGATTGGTAGAGAAATTACGGAAGCCTTTTAGGGCCAAATGTAAACATTTCACAGTGAATCACGGGGATATCTTCACAAATTCGTTGATGATGCATAACTGATAGAATTTCCCATGTAAGATGCAAGTATGAAGAGTAAGGCAACTTACAGCATTCCTTCGTAAAAATACCAGTACTGTTCACTCACCCTTTGTTTTTGGGGTGGGGGGGGGGGGGGGGGGGGGGGGGGGTATGTGAAAACACATAACTTCTTTTAAACATCATAAGCAATCTTTCCTTTACAATTTAAAAACCATGTGAAATATTTATCAGATCTTTGTTTAGAAGTTGTTTTCGGTAGACTGCGATATTTATCGGTATGACAGACACTTTAGCTTTATTACAATTACAGCCAAATAATCTGCATCCTGAAAAGAGCAAGGCATTTTTGTCCAAACAAGCTGAAATTCTTCGAATGACACACGAGCAAAAAGTGGAACGTGGATTGGAGGCAGAAGAGGTATGTTGAATGACTTAATTATAAATAAGGTCAGTTACTCGGAATGTTGTTCCATCTTTTTAAACCTGTGTCATGAGTTTTAATTAAAAAAATAGCTATTCAATTAGTAAGTTCTGGTGTTTATATTAGTAACTACTTGTACTCCTGTGTCTTGCCCTGATATTTTGTGGTAGTATTTATTACTATCGTTTTTCGCAGCATAATATGATCAGCAATGATCGTCTGGGTTGTGAACAGTCGAATTCGAGACAAGACCAACACTTTTATATAAAACAAAACATCTTCAGCAAGTCTTTCATAATATGAGGCATAAGATACCATAGGAACATTAAATAATAATAAGCCGAAGAAAAACTAACAATACCATGACCTAAAAGAAGAACGACGAAAAAGAAACAATAGTTTTTTTTTAAACAGATTTTAAAAGACGAAAGACTCAGCAACATAAATCAAACAAAAACATATTGAACATTTCACTCTGTAAATTTCATTTTTCTTTCATCAAGTGAATAGAGGTGCATCTTCATGTTTAGAACTATAAGGTCCAAATATCGTGTGTGTAAGTGTACACACAGTTGTTTAATTGTTAATCTTGTAAGAAAACATTGGTAACTGTTCAATTGCAATACGACAATTTCTATCAAAGACGTAGTGGCAATAATTGTGGAAAACAGGTATATCATTTACCAGTAAAAAGTGTCCACTGTTGTGACATACCTTCTAGGAAAAATGCTTCAGTAAACTGATAGTGTATTAACCTTTGATACCGACTTATGTTTTAGAAAATCTATCTCAAAGTAAACGGAGGACATCAGCCTTGATCTCTTTTTGTAAACTTATAAAATGTGAACGGAGGACATCAGCCTTGATCCCTTTTTGTAAAACTATAAAAAGTGAACGGAGGACATCAGCCTTGATCCCTTTTTGTAAACCTATAAAATGCATATAGAACATATTATTGAATGAATTACCAAACGATGGCTAGTTGAAATCGCAAATATACTATAATTCATTTACATGACTGTATAACAATATTTATATTTGCTTATTTCCTTATTGTTCAGTCAGGAGATGAACGTGGTATATCAAAGAAAAGCCTAACCACTTTGAATCAGTTGTGGCCAAAGAAAATAGTTCCATATAAAATAGAAGACACACTTGGTTTGTACTGATTATTATACTATTTAAAAAAAAGAATACTAGTATTACAAATAGGGAAAAGAAACACAGATGGATGAACATCAAACATGTACATTTTTGTATGCGTTGAAGAACCAAAGCTTTTTTTGCTGTTCTTGATCAGTTTAAAGAATGTAAAAATTTCAAAGTCATTTACAACTAATAATTGATTAATGTTTTCCAAGACTACAATGTAAAAACATGTTTTGCACACAGTGCATAACATATAATTAAAGGTCTTTTAACATATGTGTTATTGGTGATGCATAAAAAAAAACCTGTGACAATGACAATAATCATGCCATCAACAAACAGACAAAAACAAAGAAAATGAACGATGAAAACATAATAACGAGACATTCAACGTTCATAAGGACCTTTTGGCTAAAATGACCGTGTTTACATCCGAAAATTTGCGGACAAATCTTTTCATCTGGCATTTGTTAAGTCATTTTAGCTAAATTGTCCAAATTAACATTAACATATGAAGCAACAATTAATGACTGTTCAGTATTATGTAAATTTTCAAACACTCATTGAAATTATTTTGTGTATGATTAACGTGCATTTTAGGTGTTAATGACATAACGTCTCCAATATCATGAATAGCATTTTTTTTAGAAATGCCTGAAGGCAAAAAACTCTTAAATAAAGGCATAGAAATCTTCAACAGACTAACCTGCGTGATGTGGTTGCCGCATGACCAAGCCCTTGAAGCATTTGTTGGCCATAAGACTTATGTTGCTGTAATGAGCGACAATGAGTAAGTTTACACGTTTTAACACACCCCTTTACTGCCAGAACTTGAAAGTATATAATTTAGTGTTCAATATTATTTTTTATTACTTGCCTTCTTCAAAAAGTCATATCTGGAAGCTAAAGTTTTTGCATATAGTGCAAAGTGACTTATATTTAGACAGGAATTATGCTTGTTAATTGATGATTCCGATGGTAAAATGAAAACAGTTTTATATTGTTAGGCATAACGAATTAAGCACTCCATTTTTGTTTATTGGTCCATATACGCTGTTCGGTGTTTGTTTATTGGTCCATACACGCAGTTCGGTGTTTGTTTATTGGTCCATACAAGCAGTTCGGTGTTTGTTTATTGGTCCATACACACAGTTCGGTGTTTGTTTATTGGTCCATACACACAGTTCGGTGTTTGTTTTATTGGTCCAAACACACAGTTCGGTGTATGTTAATTGTTCCATATACGCAGTTTGGTGTTTGTTTATTGGTCCATATACGCAGTTCGGTGTTTGTTTATTGGTCCATATACGCAGTTTGGTGTTTGTTTATTGGTCCATATACGTAGTTCGGTGTTTGTTTATTGGTCCATACACGCAGTTCGGTGTTTGTTTATTGGTCCATACACACAGATCGGTATTTGTTTTATTGGTCCATACACACAGTTCGGTGTTTGTTTATTGGTCCATACACACAGTTCGGTGTTTGTTTATTGGTCCAAACACACAGTTTGGTGTTTGTTTTATTAGTCCATACAAGTAGTTCGGTGTTTGTTTATTGGTCCATACACACAGTTCGGTGTTTGTTTATTGGTCCATACAAGTAGTTCGGTGTTTGTTTATTGGTCCATACACACAGTTTGGTGTTTGTTTATTGGTCCAAACACACAGTTCGGTGTTTGTTTTATTGGTCCATACACACAGTTCGGTGTTTGTTTATTGGTCCATATACGCAGTTCGGTGTTTGTTTATTGGTCCATACACACAGTTCGGTGTTTGTTTATTGGTCCATACACACAGTTCGGTGTTTGTTTTATTGGTCCATACACACAGTTCGGTGTTTGTTTATTGGTCCATATACGCAGTTCGGTGTTAATTTATTGGTCCCTACACGCAGTTCGGTGTTTGTTTATTGGTCCATACACGCAGTTCGGTGTTTGTTTATTGGTCCATACACGCAGTTCGGTGTTTGTTTATTGGTCCATACACGCAGTTCGGTGTTTGTTTATTTGTCCATACACGCAGTTCGGTGTTTGTTTATTGGTCCATACACGCAGTGTTTGTTTTATTGGTATTTTGGTGCGTTGTACGTTGACACAGCATGCATTGAATTACAAATGTGTTAGTTAAGATAATCCGCCTTTTTTTTATAGTTAACGACCATTAATAATCGGTGCCGGGTTTTATTTCTCCGTGGAATTAGACATGTTTCATGCAGAACCGAACGTGTACTTCTGAGACACTTATAATTATGAAAAAAGGGAAATCCTGGACAGTCATGGATATTTTATGTTTCTTTGAAATTTTAATCAAAGATGACGGACTGGATATTCGTTCACACTACTGGACACCTAAAATACAGAAATGTTTCCTTACAGACAAAATTTTATTGTTAGTCTTCTAAATACTCCTGGAAATTCTTTCGAAACTATCAACATCTTTATTGTCATCATGAGTCAGATGGGAATACAAAAAAAAATCCAAAGATATGTTAGGGTACATAATAATACTATAATCTAAGTCGTCTCGTGCAATCGTCGTTAAACTTTACATTTTGCTATGAAGATAATGTCCTTTCACTAAATAATGTACAGTTTGGTAAATATGTTCATCGCATCTATCACACTGAACTTTAAATTACGGATAATTTGAAACAGTTTAGTTTACTTGATATCTTGAATTACATTGAGGGTCTGTTAAGAAACCAAACTTTACAACAAATGTACGATAACCATTGTGAACTTATCATTTCTCTGTAGCTGCAACAAAGCCTGCATATTGAGTATGTATTTCCCAGCTGATACGATATTTCAGCTCTTGCGTTCCTTGATACAGGACTTCTATTTATAAAAAAAAAAGCTATTGAAACCGAGGGTTCCTAATTGTAAAGCTGAAAACAAAAGGTTTGAGACGCCATCATATTTATTGAATATCTGCGTCACATAATGCCGTCTTCGTTACCTCGATTGTTACACCATCGACTTATCGACGATTTTGTTTAATTTTTCCTGACCATGACCAGTAGTTTGTCTAATGGATACAGGAACGGTTTACATTCTCGACCGGAGCACTTGAGTTTGCCCTCGGATTTGGTGGCTTTATTTTTGCTAAAACTGTAGTTTTATGTAATGTGTTTTATTGACTTTTGTTTTGTCTTTTAGTCGATCGTTTTTCTTTTCGGCAAAAGGAGTGTCTGTTTTTCTTCAATTATGGTTTTTATTTGACCCCGTGCTATCCTCTCTCTCGTTTCAATCAAACGCAATTAAACACCTGACAAATTCATCATATCCATCAAACACTGTCCGATCCCACGTTTCCCTGTACATTGCAGAGTTTGGAACCAGCTTACAGTCAAACATTTCTAATAAGATACGAATGACATTCAACTGTTTTCATTGAACAAAATTGTTTTATCGTTTCAAAGTTGATCAAACTTTATTTGATCTAATTTAATTGATGAAACTTTCTAGCATTTCAGTATTCATTTAGTCGCTTATTTAGGTCATTGCAGATATGCAATACAAAATTTAAAAAAAACAGTTATTCATTAAGAGCCCCATCTATAATAATAACATGCCGTGATTCTCTTCAACGTGAACATATAAACAAAAGTAATCGCAAAGCTTTCAATATAACGAAAGGGATTCGCTATTCGAATTCATTATATAGAATATTTAAACCGAATATCAAACTGCACCAAAAGTTAATAAGCCTTGATCCACAGATTTTCAGAAAATGAAAATATCATCTCAAAACAATAAGAAATATATATATACATTGTTTACTTAATTCTATTTCGTAGATGGTGCTGGGCATCCGATTTAGGTAGAACTGGAAAAGAAAAACAGCAACTTAGTATGTCTGGGGATTGTTTAGAGGTAAATAGTGCCGTGAACGAATCTGCTGAAGTTCAAGATTCAGTATTCAATATTTTATTATAGTCTTACCACATACACACATACAATAAGATTCAGAGAATAACACATAAAACAGTTAAAATATTTGCAATATATGCATCAATCTTGAAAAGATTTATGAAAGACTTTTAAGACACAATATATACATAGTGTTGAAGGCCGTACTTTGACCTATAATTGTTTACTTTTTACACATTGTGACTTGGATGGAGAATTGTCTCATTGGCACTCATACCACATCTTCTTATTTATATATAAAATGTTTTACACATTTACATTTGAAATTTACAATGTCCATCTATACTGCATAAATGTAAAACATTGTGTTTCTTATAAAACTAGTGAAATAAAATACTGTTTCTTCTCAACAAAATGTTGTCACGGGTTTTGGCAACTACAGTAGCAACATTCTCAATATTAAATAAAAAAAAAATTTCACAATCTGATAGTATGTTAAGACGTTCAATATACTATACTATTGACCAGATTGAAGATGATTGATGCAGTATGTTTGACTGTCCAATTAATAAAAAGTGAAATAACTAAAATACCGAACTCCAAGGAAAATTCAAAACGGAAAGTCCCTTATCAAATGGCAAAATCAAAAGCTCAAACACATCAAACGAATGGAAAACAACTGTCATATTCCTGACTTGGTACAGGCCATTCCTTGTGTAGAAAATGGTGGATTAAACCTGGTTTTATAGCTAGCTAAACCTCTCACTTGAATGCATGATGACAAAACAGTGAAAACAAATGATTCACCTATTAACCTATTACATGATTAAATAATACCTTTTTTTTTTTAAATCTAAATCGATTAGATATTGTTTAATATTATTAATTCGTATTTTTTAATTAATTTGATTCGTTCAGAGATAGTCACATGTCATGTTAAACTATTATATTTTTGAAGGTAGAGAGAAAACGGCGGATAGCAAAAAGCATATTGCACAGCAAAAAGCTGAAATAATTGCACGGTTATTTTTAGAATATCTAAAAATCAATATACTTTGTGACGTCATGTAATGAATTTCATGATATTGTTAAAGTTTTATAAAAAAATATCTATGATCGATTATTTGAAGAAAAAAAATCTTCATATACATAAGATGTAAAACAAAAAAAAAGTAAATTAAATAACAACTTATATGTTGTTATTGTCTAGGAGACAATATGATATCTATAAAATTCCAACAAAATCAAAAAATCAAATCAGGATTTTGATACAAATATGGTCGGAAATTAATAATATAACAATTATAGCCTATTGATGAGGTCAATACAGGATATATCGACCCAAAGAAGTATATCGACCTCGGACTTCATCCTCAGTCAATATACTTCTTTCAGGTCAATATATCCTTGTATCGACCTCATACAAAGGCTATAATTGTATAATATTTAACAATTACTTGAATTAAATGAAGTCGTATTGAAATGCCACTACATATACACTTTCTTGTTGGCCCAGTTCCCTAAACGCTCCATAAAATAGTAGAATTTCATTATAACTTGCTACAGTATGTCAAAATGAAGAATCCATATGCATGTCGAAAGCCCAAAGATTTCCTCAGAATGATGTTTAACAAATTAACAAAAACAATGAAACATTATGTTGTTCTACACTAAAAAAAAAGGTGTCTATTTTTTATATCGAATAGTTCTCAACCATACTTCATGAGATGTTTCATGTGATGGGGGCGGAACATGAGCAGTGTAGATCAGACAGAGATTATCATGTCAAAGTCAAGAATGGTGCAAATAAATATAACTATGGAAAGTGGCCTACACGAAATTCAAATCCATATGATTATGAATCCATCATGCATTATGCGGAGGGGGTAAGTAACACGAGCTCGAGGTTCGATAATATTGATGACAAGTCTTACTCTGCAACTGTCCTAATCACTAATAAATAATGTAGTAACCAATCAAATTTTTAAACTATACAGTCACTGTCCTTATAAAGCTTAGTTTGTGAAGTAGACAATGTATTTCCGTTTTTATCCATAACGTCGTGAGAAAGTTGCTGATAAAGAGAATAATATATTTTTTTGTCTGAAAATATGATTTTTATTTTCAAATTGCTTCCTCCAAAACTGGAAAAAAAAATCCTCGGTTGATCCTTGCTTTCAGTATGTACCAAGAAAGCTTGTACATCTCTGTTTTATGTTTGGAGACACAATATAGCCATTCTATTCATATTCAAAATAAATGTATTCCAAATAATATTTCAGTGCACCCAAGTTTAAAAGCAAGACTTTTTGCGGTGTTCGTGTTATTCAGTGTTTAGTTTCTATGTAATATTTTGTTGACTTTTTGTTATTTTGGTGTGTTTTCTGCCTTGATTGTGTCAGTCTCTCTTTGACCTATGAGTTATGATCTTGCCTTTTGGTATCTTTTTTCCATACAGAAAATGGATGGTATGAAATTTTTATACATTAAATTAAAAGTAACTTATCAATAATTGGATACAAATAGCCTTCTATTATACCATTCTTACCATTATGAACTTATCTATTCTTAGTACAAAGATTTGTTTTCATCAGTACATTTTAATGCTTTTTAGGATCCGTTGACTGTTTTAAATGAGGAACTTGCATTTCTGACACACAGTAGCGACAAACTATCATTCTACGATATTGCTGATATCACAGATACGTATAAATGTGCAGGTATTTAAAATTTCTTGTAGTATTCATAGAAGAACAGGAAAAATAGGAAAAATCTAAAAATTGTAAATATTACATTTATTATTCTTCGTTATTACTTGCTTTTTGCCATGAGTGCATTTTCGGAAGTTTAGTCATTTTTTAAATTGTTACTTTTCTAAACTTTTTAAAAAGTTGATGAACAGGCGAGTGCCGAAATAAAAAGGGAAGTTTATTTTTAAACGGAGTTTTTTTCTCTTTTTGTTTTGATAATTTTATGGTGATAATTTAAGGCGTAACTTCAGAATATATTAACGAATTGAAAATAGTGGTATGCAGCAATTTTTATTATCAAGAGCACGCGTAAATACATGTTTTAAAACTTGTTGTATAACAAAATCTATGTATAATATCTTACAATTTTAGCGCTCAGTAAGAAAGTAAGAAAGTGAAAACAATATTAAAAGACAAGAGCTCTCGGTCATAAAACTTTACTCAGTACTCGGATACGATATTTGTGATCGAAACACCAAATGCAGTATTTTGATTGGTTGAATTCTGAGTCTGAGTACGATTATCGTTCTCGAAATGGTTATGGGCGCATGGCAAGATTTTCTTTAATTTATAACCAATTATTAATTTGTAAATTCAGAAATAATTGCAAGGTTTTTATTAATGCGAATATTGCGACTGGGTGGGTATCGCAATAATAAGAAATCGCATTCTATTATCTGATACATAAAATACACGCAATAATTTCTGAATTTACATGCACAGCTCTGATACACTGTCCTGGTTTGGCTTTATTTTTTTTATATATTTTTATTTTATCAACTCTTCAACATTTCTATAAGTTTTGGACTTTCAATTATTTTATACCTCAAGCATCACTGAAGAGACATTAATTGTCGAAATGCACATATGATGAAAAAAAATTGGTCCTGCTAATGTTATTAACATTTCAATGGAAGAGGTTTCAAAAATTAGAAATAAAACTACGATTGTAAATAGTAAACATAATTATTGTAGAACCGAAAAATCAAATACAATTGTTCTGGTTTAAATCTAATAAAAGTATGAAAAATGAACAATTATATAACCCACATGTTTGAAGAAATTAATAAAACAGATATATAACGAAACAAGTATTGATCAAACGAGATTCGGGATCATTCAACAGACGTTTCATAGTTCGCTGTGTCGTCTTTAAATCCAGTTTCAAATCATCAACAGATAATACAAAGATTAGAATTGTTGAGAACTGAGACAGAAATCTATATGTTCCAATTGCAAACACAAAGACAAATAATGTCAAAAATTACCAAAAACAACATCAATATATGACAATTTATGTAGCCATAGATTAAGCGCTGCAAAAAGCACCGCAAAATGAAAAAAAAAGACATTGCAAATTTTAAAGAAAATGATAAAAAAGAGATGAGAGAGTGAAAATAATAATAAAAGAACTGTGGCTCTTTTCACAAAAATATCTTAAGAGTAAAAATACTCGTAAGTCATACACATTTCAGTATAACTTACGATCAATTTTAATCGTGAGATTTTTTGTTAAAAGAGTCGCAGAAGCTTAATGAATTTGAGATTGATTGAGAGATTGATGAGAGGCGATTAAAGGGTGTATCTAAATATTATCAATGGTGGGGTTAAAGGGGAAACAACTTGCATAAGTTTTTCGGAATTTTCTCTTCAATTTTTGCAGAAATCTTAGTGGGAAATACAAACAATAAAGTGGTTTAAATAAAATAATTAATAAAATATTAAGTTTAAATAAAAAACAATCTATCTTATTTTGAAAATAAGTGTATACAAGTATTGTCTTCCATCGCTGATTACTATGAATTGAAATACTTTTACTTAGGTTAATGAATATTGGAATTATTTGTCACTTATTTGCATTTTCGTTTTATTAAGACCCTCGCAAAGATCTGTTACACATATATGCATATATAACTTCGGTTAAACTACTAGTTTAGATAACTGTTTGAACGATTGAAATGATCTTTTTAACCCTTTTCACGAGATAGGCATGCTACTCTCAATGCAACCAATGATAAAAGAAAACCTATTCCGATTGTGATATTGTGTTGCTGATTCGTCTTTGGTTATTCAGAAGTAAGGCGCAGGAATATATACAAATGGGAACAGGAAGTTGTTGATTCGAACTAACAAAAAAACTGTTGTTAACATTTTTCAAGGCGAGCTTTGAAGATTGAATATTTAAAATGTATGTTATTGTAATGTGTATGATTTCAGAGGATTGTGTTGATCCTCCAGAATGCATCAATGGTGGATTTGTTTACTCTGAATGTGAATGTTACTGTCCCTATGGATTGACTGGTCGATATTGTGAGCAGGTTACAAGTGATGGTAAGGTGTACACACTTTGTTAGTAGGATTTCAAAACGCATTTACAAATCACCAGCTTTGAAATGTTTATTTATGAGCTTCCTTGATGAAGACAAACCCAGAAAAGCGCTTCGGAAGCACGAAATTTACTAACTACTATTTTCATTTTTTGATAACACCAGAGACATATATGTCTCTGATAACACCATTTCATATATTTCTGAAATTAAGAGAGAAAGGCATATGTTTTAAATGTCAAACTTTACAGATAGAACAATATATGTATACTAAGATAAATTTATTTATCCATATTCACTATTTTGATATCTTGAATCGCTGCAGTATATTTGCACGCGTGTAACTTTATATAAAGTAAAACGTATTCCCACAACGTATTTACATTTTTTTTCATGAATCTCAATAGGTGACAAAATCTCTTATTTCATGACTTTAAATTTTACGATCAAATTCTGATCAATGTATTGTACGTTAATTATCAATACACCTGTATTTGCTTTTCATTTTACATTTTGTAAGTACTTCTTATATTTTCTGTTTTTATCAGATTGTGGTGGAATAATCGATCTTACTCCAGGGAATGATTACATTATAACAAGTCCAAATTTTCCAAATAATTATGACGTTGGTAAGGAATGTGTTTGGCTGTTAAGGGTATGTATATACTTTATTTGTTCTGCTTAATTCTATCCCCCTCCTTTTTTGTGTTTAGCATTCTTATGTAAATCAAATCTATGCTAATAAATAAAATCACTGAATCAGCTTTTTCCATTGTTTTTTATTTCTAAAAGCTAGTCGCAGCTCTCATGTGACAGGGATATAGAATAAAACAAACAACACACATGTAAGAATGTCTGTTGGTGTATTCGCGACCAATTGCATGAAGGGTTTTGTGGTAGATTAAAACCAAAATACTCTCTAAGCTTATGCATTACCTCAGAAATAGCATGGTGCTATCTACTCTCTTTGAATAGTTACTTGATCATTTGCACTCCAGATGGCCTTGTTATATTATTCTATCATATTCATGGAAGGTCAAACTTATGTGATCATGTGACATTATTACAAAAGAAATCATTTTTTGGACGATTTAGAGAGATCATAGATAAACCAGTTATAATTTTGATATACACTATATTTTATATATGTATTCGAATGTTTTATGCTATACAAGTGGTTAGACTTTATAAAATATTCAATCTTGAATCTAGAATTATTACAGATGTAAAAGTCATCCTTGCTTTCAAAGATCAGCACGTGCACTGTTTAGTGTCACTATGGCCACAAAAGCAAATCAAGATCGTTTGGATGGATGCTTATATTTAATCTGCGAACATAACTTATATGATCTTAAAGAAACAATTAGCATTACTTGATGATTTTTTCCAGAATGTCTATTTATTTGTTTCCTTGCAACGGTTCACAGCTACAACATTATATTAAAATAATGATTTCGAAACCGTTCATTTTATTTTAGATTTTAACATACTGGAAGCTTGTACGAATTTTTAAAGGCTTGAGGGAAGTTTTTTTGTTTACATTTATGACTCATTATAAAGATTTACTATTCACTTGTTTTAGGCTCCAGAAGATTATCGTGTAAGCATTGATGTAGATTTCTTTCATTTGCCGTATAATGATGATCTAAAAAGATGCTACCATTGGTTGGAAGTGCGATATAATTTAGTCGGTCAAACTGGAATCAGGTAAGCTAAACACATAAAACCGAAAAAAATGAACCGTGTTTTGGAAGTCTTTCGTTCCCCTTTTCAGCCAAAACTTTGTAATCACCTCACTTGCATTCCGGTACAGGGCCATCAAATGACGGTAAAAATGTTATTTGATTTTTTTTTTATTTTGGAATTAAACTGTTAGCTTTCAATAATATTGTTGAATTGAAATGCATATTGTTCCCTTTCTGGCTGTCAGATGTACCATTATCCCACAATATTTGTAGATGACGTGAGAATAATGAATAAGGCACTTGAAAACGTTGATAATGATGACTTCGATTGTTTCATCTGTTTAACCGCACACATGTTATCATTATTTCTTCCTCAGAAAATGCGGCGATTCAACCGGTGATACTTGGGTAACAACACCTTATGGAGAGAAGAACTTGATGCTTCTAATATTTGATAGTGTGGTTGGTAAAGAACACTCGCCAGAAAAGGGATTTTCTTTAAGGACAAGAACAGTAAAGGACGGTGAGTATGTGAAACAGGGGTAAACTTGGGACGCAGTTCTACGTTTTGAATTTCATTCACCAAAACAGATATTTTAATGTCCTGTCTAAAATAGTAGGTGTATTATTGATTCCGATCTGTGTGTCAGTCTATTTGTTAGTCTGTTTGTCGGTCCCGTATCAAGCTATTTTTTTAGATAACGGTAATTTACCATGAGATTGTGTTATATCAAAATGAAATGTGGTACCCATGTAACTATGTACCATGAGCACAGGGTTTTTATATTTTCCAAGAAGCCCGATCTTGTGGCTACTTTATCTACACGACAAATGCATTGTTGGTCCAGCAGACAAATAAGTGTTACGTATGGTAAACAATATTTTTTGTACTAATAAATCAACAATTTGATGTGATCACTTTCGTGAAAATACAAATAAATGGGCTAGTCATATAAAAGACTACTTTTTCATTTAAAGGATGTTTAGCAGATCCATGTATTTATGGTACGTGTCGGGACTGTGATGATGGTTCATTCAAATGTAAATGTTTTCCTGGATTCGAAGGTCAACATTGTGAATTCGTTGATGGTATGTTTTTCTAATAAACAAAATATACATAAGGCATTCTTGAGTTATTTTTTGACATTTATCAAACACGTTAAATATCATTTAAACGCAACTGAATTGATAATAGTTTTAGATAAATACAAGATTGTGAATCTACTGTGTTTTGATTATTATTTTAAGAAAAAAATTAAAATAAACACATAAGCGGGAATTGACAAATATTTAAGTTCTATGTATATTTTTTTTCTCTTTTTTTCTGCTCTCAAGTCTCACACCAATGAGTATATTTTATGGTAATTTATTCTGTAAATTCCTTTATTGTTTTTCAATTATTAGTTTATGGATAAAACAAAATTGGTGAATTAATGTTGATTTATACATTCTAAAGCTTTCCAACATTTAAAATTATGAAAGGGAATAGTTGTATGCATTCAAAAAGGCACATGCAAGCGTCCAATTGAAATGTCAGAAATATTCGACCAGTGAACACTTATACGGAAAATCAATAGAAACAATGCAAATAAAAATCCTGCCAATTGTTTTTTAACCTCGAGTACCATGCCATTTTCTGAAGTTCATGTGTTCAAATCTTTAAGTGTTACCATGTTCTACAATTATAAAAAAACTCGCATCACTAAACTACAATGTGATAGTATTTAAACAATTGAAATCTGAAAGGTTTGATATACATTCTGATTCTCATGTTTTATGTTTTAAATAACAGATTCCACACCATTAGAATGTACATTTGAAAAAAATTACAAATGTTTTATGAAGAATGTAAATGATGATGACTTTGACTGGAGCGAAAAGATGGTAAGTGTGTGTGTAAAAATTTCCCATGTGTCGGCTCTTAATAAGGACATTACCATGTACCATGGTTATCTAAGTCAAAAAAATTTAACACGGTTTATTAGAAAGACATTTACACGTAGAAAATATTCAATCAAGTGCAAATATGGTGAAGATATTTTAATACTTTGGATCAAATAACATATAATTTCACGAAATTCAAAGCATAATCAAAGATGTACTTAAAAGGTGAGCAGAGGTAAACGAACAGGCAAAAAAAAAGAATATTGGGACCAGAGTATTTAATCTGTAGTTAAATTTGGTACGCCGATAGAGGATCTATATTTTATTTACAATGCGACACTCGTCTTATTCGATAATAATCAGTAGTGAATGAATTAGCAGAGAGAAATTTCGACCAACTTATCTGATACTGATAACATGTTGATACCAAATACGAACAAAAACGATAAGGAACTGCATTACTCTTCAAACTCATAAATCAATAAAAAGATAGAAATAGCATTCTATTTTTTTATCGTCAACAGGGCCCAACTGTCACCAAACTAACCGGTCCAGACAAGGCAATTAGTGGCGACTTGTATTTGTATGCCGAGTCTTCAAGCCCAAGGAAGCCAGGAGACAATGCTATATTTGAATCAGATGTTACATTTCCAGGTTAGATCTAAATCACATGGGTTTTTATTAATCTTTTATATAGTTGTTTGTAGTAAACGTCCAGAGGCATAATTTATGACACCTTATATGTATAAGTTTACTTGTCCTCCTTTTTACACTACTATTTGGGATTTATTTTTGTTCCGAATTGACAGTTTTTCGTATCATTTTGAATGTTGAATATGAATGTTTTGAAATTCTAACATCTTAATACAACCTGAACCTGAAAATGATTTTAAACGTCAGAATGTTGTGTTCGAATTTATTCCAGTTAACTTATCAACTTTTGTTTTACTGTTCCAAAATTAGTTTTATATTTTGTTTGATTTTTGTTTGTATATTTATATCTTTTTCACAGCTGAAGATCGTTGCTTGGAATTTTATTTCAACATGTTTGGTTCTGGTATGGGGACATTAACTGTGAAGTCATCGGAGGAAGTATTGTGGACGAAGACTGGAAACCAAGGATTCAGTTGGCATAAGACTAGAATACATGTACCCAGTACAGATAATCTGAAGGTTATATATATTCAAATTTGTGCTTACGAAAAATAAAATACGCCAAATGTATACAATGACGTGCTTTCTTATAAATAATAGACAATCATATAGCTTGTTCAAAGTATGATTTTCTTCAAGACTCATTTAGAAACGTTTGTAAATTGACCTGTTTTAAATCGAGGTTGAATAAAAAAGAAAATTGTAACTACATGTATTATTAGAAATGTTTGAAATGCCTTTCTTCTAATGGTTTATTCCGCAACTCACATCACTTAAGGCTATCATACTTATATCTTTGGTTGGGATTTTTTTCGGCCAAATTTAAGAGAAAGTATTATCTGGAAGGTTTTTTTTAATCTATAGTGCTTTGTAATGGTAACACTACTAAGCTGTTGTTCATATATGTAATCAAGGTAGCAATAATTACATAATAATAAATAATAAAATACTTTACTCTATCTAGCTAAGGATTGAGGCAATCCGTGGTAGTGACTGGGAAAGTGACATTGCTATTGATGATATCAAGCTTGCACCAGGAACTTGCGGTAAGATAACAATATTAATATATGTATGATGACTGTGAAAGGTATCATTTTAGGCTTTGCATAACAAAATACCAAGTTTTGTTTTCTTTTATCGTAATTTTTTATCAAGAAAAACATACCCAGTTGTGTTTCATTGCAGTAATAAAACGTAAATCAAGACCTGTGTATATTGCCAAATTTAATTTTATTATTTCCAGCTTTATGAAATTTTTAAAGTGTATTGATTGAATGAGACCTACTGTACAGTTTTAACACATACATCATCGTTTCTTTTCAGAATAAAAATTAGATCATCGTATGTATTATCAGATGAAATACTGCATTATTCATTTTAATCGGTAAACCTCGATTTGATGGATGCAAAGATTTTAATTATGTTTTTTTTTAAATAAAAAGACTTGATTGAAGGATTTCATTTTCCTATCATAAGGTAAAACAATATACATTTGGAGAATGTTGGCCGTTAAAGAGTATCTGGTTCACAGGTAACGACGGATATGTTCCAAATGTCATAACGACAATCCCGTCGTCTTTTCGTCAAATATGAACAACGAATTAGGTTTATCCCTGAATTTGTACTTGCATGAGCAACACGACGGGTGCCATATGTAAAGCAGTATCTTGTTACCCTTCTGGAGCATCTGAGATCCCCCAGTTTTTTGTGGTGGGTTTCGTGTTGCTCAGTCTTCTGTTTGTTTGCCATGGCGTTGTTTGTTTATCTTCGACTTATGAATTTGATTATCCCTTTGGTATCTTCCGTCTCTCTTGGACGCACATAATAAATAAATCTCTCAGACCTTTTAATAAACTCGAATACATGTTTAAATATATGGACGTTTTGTTCATACGAGAAGTTCGGATTACCAGATGTTAGTAACTTAACATTCAATATAAGTTCATCAGGGAGCCATCTTAGATTGTTCATCAGAATTTCTCTCTGAGCTGTATATAAAGATCAGTTGAAAAGGAAATGGTGTACAGTCTCAATGCTACATCCACAAAGACAAGATGGGTCAGCAATTATATTGACTCTGAACAAGTCATAATTCAAGAATGATGAGTAGCATCTTAATTGTGTTGGAATTATATTCAGTTTCCTGGATCCATATAAATAGCGCTTAGGTACATCTTTATTTATAGTATTTAGCCTTTTTAGTTTGATTTTAAATTTTGAGATAGAGTCTGATTTTCGAAGGGACAAATCGGTATGAGTCCATAGTCTTATAGTTAATGGTATAAACGATTCTTTAGTAAGGGATAATCTACAAAAAGGAACAATGATATCATTGCCATTTCTCAAGGGATATACAGTTGAGCTCTGTACACTGGATGGAACAAGATTGCATAGATAATCCGAAGCTTGTTTATATTGAATGTTATAAAACATTTGTAATTTTCGTCTTTTCCTCCTGTCAGCTAAAGTTTCCCACGCAACTTCCTCATACAGACTTTCAGTTTTTGTAAATATAGGCAAACCAGTAACTATTCTAGCAGCTTCTAGCTGTAGACTTTCAAGTTTATTAGCATATCCTATCCCACAATCTTCCAAACCTCAGTTGTTATTCAAAAAATGGTCTTATAAATACTAAATAGAGTTTTAGATCTGGTGCGTCATTATTTGAAAAAAATCATTATTTCTGTTTTGTCTGGATTAAGACATAAGCCACTTTCTTGACCATTTGTTCAGCTCCTCGAGGTCACGATCAATAACAGTTTTTATATGTCCTCCGTCGTTCCCCGAGTAATTAAACGAAGTGTCATTCGCATAGAGTCTGGTTAGAGATGTGAGTTTCTCTGCAATGTCATTTATATATATTATAAATTATAAGGGACCAAGTACTGAGCCTTCATGTACTCCAGCTGAAAGACTGCAAAAATGAGGATTATGATTTATTAATCACAACTTTTTGTTTCCTATCACAAAGAAAACTTTCAAACCAGTTAAGTAAGTTACCATGTATCCCGTCAGCTTTCATTTTACTGAGCCTTCATGTACTCCAGCTGAAAGACTGCAAAAATGAGGATTATGATTTATTAATCACAACTTTTTGTTTCCTATCACAAAGAAAACTTTCAAACCAGTTAAGTAAGTTACCATGTATTCCGTAAGCTTTCATTTTATGTAAAACAATTGCAGAGAGTAAACGTTTTAATGGTACCAAACCTTCACCCTTATCTGAAACAATAGTGTAACATAATGGGTCATCACAACATAGAAAGACACACTATAAAATATCAATTGAAATGGCTTAACTCAATCAAAAGACATATTAACACAAGTGAACATACACTGAATAAATTTGATCTATGATACAATGTAAATACAAAATCAATAATCATGTTTAAAAGCAATTCGTTCCATGATTTTACCTATACAGCTTATTAAAGAGATTGGCCTTTAGTTTGAAAGTAATGACGAATCACCTTTTTTTAAAAATAGCAATAACATTTGCAATCTTCCAGCTAGAAGGATACTTGCATTGTTGAATAGATTTATTTAATATTATTTGTAAAGGAACCGCCACTTTCTTAGGGCAAATTTTCAACATACTGTGACTAATCAAATCTGGTCCCGATGCCTTATTCGGATCAATAGTTTTAAATAATATCAATTTTTTCATTTTGATTTATGTATATATCTTGAATATAAGTATTAGTTTTACTTTAAACTCTGTTTTTATTTGACTGTTGATTTATGACCTATCAAATGAAGGGTTGGTTTTGAAGTTCAAGAAGTCAAAGAGTAACCGACAATACTATGACAAAAAAGAAAAAAACGACGAAAAGATAAACAAGAGTCTACAAAACACTGCTTACAAAACTATTACAAATTAAGCAACGCGAATCCCACCAAAGAACCACCAAACACTAAATGGTTTTATCAGGTGATATGTTCTGATAATCAGATCCTTCATCACATGTTTCAAAAACGAAAACGACGAAAAGACAATCAACAGTCTACAAAACATTCATAGTAAAAAATTAGCAACAAGAACTTGCAAATAACCGGTCTGATATCAGGTTCTCTGGAAGGGTAAGCTGATTTTGTATCATATGTGGCACCAGTTGTGTTGATTATGATTAGTACAAATTGCATTACAAGTCTCGTATGGTGATGTCACAATCGAGGAAAAGAGGACAGGACTGTGACTAAGACAAAAGAAAAAACTCATCAAAGATTCCAGGCTTACAATTGGGTACACCAGATGCGAGGTTCGTTTACATTAACCTCATCAGTGGCGCTTCAATTAAAACACTTAGGAGGCGAAATCAAATACGAAGTTCCGAAAAAATTGTGCTGAATACGACTCATCTAATATATTGATTTGAGTAGAACATATTCGTGGTCATCTTTGACAGATACCTTATAACGGCAAATCAACGGATAGTGGCATCCGTAAAACTTTAAGAGGAATTACTTCCACTTAACGTGTTTAATACCCTTTCATTTGTTTTAGGATCAGTTACACCAAACGGCAAGCGACATTGTTTTTCAAGGACGAATTCTTCAAAATGTATTTTTTAAGAAAATGGAACGAAATTCGCTCTTCCCACGTTTCAACGGATTCAAATTTTCGTCCAAACTTGAGATAAACATCATTAATGCAGTTTCGTAGTGGCAAAAGTTTAACCAAACTAGTTTTAAAAAGATGTTTGCCAAATAGAAAAGCATAGATTGAAATTAAATATACAAAAAGTAAAAGTTTTTTTATTTGAGTTGCATGTTGCAATTATTAAGTATCTTAAAAAAGGACTTTGAAATAACTCCCTTGATTAATTAATGTTTAAATACCTCAACTCCTATATTTTTAAGGAACATGTTTTTACTGATAATTTCACAATGTATTTAATTACTATTTCAGCAACTCCTCCCAGGTCTGATTGTTTATCATCACCAAAGGGTACAGATTACAGAGGCAAGGTTAATGTCACAACTAACGGAAGAAATTGTCAGAGGTGGGATTCTGACTCACCGTGGTCACATGATTATCATGTGTATGATGAATACGAAAATTATTGTCGTAATGACCTACGTGATTCGGATGCACCTTGGTGTTATACCACTGATACTCAAGTGGAATGGGAGTTATGCGATATACCTCATTGTCGTAAGTTCTTTTTTTATTTGTGACATATATTTAAATATAGGGTGAATGCTGTGGTATTTATTTAATACGGGATGGGTCAGAATGGGTCAAAACTATCAGGTCTCTGTTAAAACGTCGCATTCATAAGTTAAAAAACTGTGTGAATGATAGACCAAAGTCCGTTTTCAGAGACAAAGAGGCCGTGAAATGTCTATCATCTCTTCATGACAAGTATGTTGTTGTTCCTGCGGACAAAGCTTCAAATAATATTGTCTTTGTATGTAAATCGTATTACTACGAATGTCTTGTAAAAGAATTAGGAATAAATGAGCACTCAGGTAATCCCACATACAAAGACATATCATTTGACAAGGATGAGATTTTAGCAAATCATAAGTCCTTCATGGCTTCAATGAACATTACATTGAACACCAAATCGGAGGACTTACCTTGTTTGTATTGGATACCGAAGCTTCACAAAATTCCGTACAAACAACGGTACATTGCCGGCTCATCTGTAGGTTCCACTAAAGAATTGTCCATTAGATTGACTAAAATTCTGTCCGCAGTGAAAGAGGGTCTTCAGAAATACTGTGAAACTGTTTACTCGCGTAGTGGTATAAACCATATGTGGATTCTTAAAAATTCTAAAGAAATTCTAGATAATTTTAAATCTCGGTCGTTTTCTGAAATTAGTTCTATCAAAACTTTTGATTTTTCAACCCTGTATACCACCATTCCCCATGTGAAATTAAAAAATTGCCTGAAAGAAATAATCCACAATGCCTTTCATCATAAAAATGGTAGCATACGCTATAAATTTATTACTTTGGGATATCATAAGGCATATTTTGTTAATAGTGAACAAAAGGGTAAAAAATGCTACTCAGAAGAACAAGTGATCAGTATGCTGGAGTTTCTTATCGACAACATATTTGTTGAATTTGGAGGTAGACTTTTCAACAAATTGTCGGCATTCCATGGGAACGAACTGTGCGCCTCTCCTTGCCGACCTCTTCTTATTTTCATATGAATCGGAGTTCCTTCAGACACTTGTCAAAAACAAGAAGATCAAAGAAGCCAGATTATTCAATTTAACTTTCAGATATATTGATGATGTTCTTTCCATTAACAATCCGAACTTTTCTGATTGGGTTCCATTAATATATCCACCAGAACTAGAAATTAAAGAAACAACAGACACGGCTTCCTCCGCCTCATTTTGAGACTTATATCTCGAATTTGACATACACAGTCATCTCAGTACCAGAATCTATGACAAATGAGACGATTTTAATTTTAAAATTATAAATTTCCCCCACCTTAGTAGCAATATACCAACTTCACCTGCATATGGGATATACATTTCCCAACTTATTCGATATTCAAGAGCTTGCAGCTCCTACTCAGACTTTGTAAAACGTCACTAGTGTCTGAGCAGAAAGTTAATGAACCAGGGGTATGTCAAAGAACGTCTCGTACTTTTTCTAAAAAAGTTCATCGGAAGGTACCAAGACCTTGTTGATAAATATTCCGTATCAACTTCACAAATAATACATGATGGTCTTGAAGTATAGATTCTGCGTACTGACGTTGTTTATCATCTTAACAACGTGTTATATTGTTCCTTCATTTGTTTTTGTTCTATTATTAATATGACTTTTACTGTTTGGTTTGTTTTCTGTGATATCCATTTGACGTGGCTCGGTACTTATACATCCCGTCAATGTGTTTGTATTATCTTTCATTTTTGCTGGTGTGTTTTGTATATGAGACTTTTTGTGTTTCTTTGGTTCTTATAACGTGACTCTGTACTTTAAAAGATCCCGTCATTATGTTATTGTTCTATTATATGTCATTATGTTATTGTTCTATTATATGTCATTATGTTATTGTTCTATTATATGTCATTATGTTATTGTTCTATTATAAATTTGAAAATACTTTGAACGACAAACGACACATTTATTTTACTCGCGTAGTGGTATTAACCATTAATGTGGATTCTTAAAAATTCTAAAGAACTTCTGGACAATTTTAAATCTCGGTCTATTTCTGATATTAATTCTAACATAACTTTTGAGTTTTTAACCCTGTATACCAACATTCCCCATGTGAAATTATAAAATTGTTTTTAATAAACATTGAACGACAAAATTTCTACTTGTGTGACGTTTACATTTTCTGACGTCAGACACGCGAAGCAATGAATGTGGTTTTTAATTTGATAGATGCTTTTGTGCGTTTTTGTAAATGATTGTTTGTTTTGATATTGTAACACAGTGATGACTGCTGTACCAATATTTTGACTATTTTATTTATTATGTTTGTTTTGTTCACGCATCGTTGTAAATATAACGGAATTTGATGAGACTGTCGTACAAGTGAGAGGTTTAGCGCTATAAAACCAGGTTCAATCCACCATTTTCTACATTTGAAAATGCCTGTACCAAGTCAGGAATATGACAGTTGTTGTCCATTCGTTTGATGTGTTTTGTCATTTGATTTTGCCATGTGATTAGGGACTTTCCGATTGAATTTTCCTCGGAGTTCAGTATTTTTGTGATTTTACTTTTTAATCATATATGTAAATGTATATTTCAATTTTTATAATTAGAATAGATAAATCATCGTGAATTTTGAAGTTTATTTATTTATGAAATTATTTTACGTTTCTATGTATAATATACACGAGTATTTGAAGAAGAAAAACAATAGTGAGTTGATGTGACAAATGATTATTATTTTCTTAGAAAATTATAAAATGCTTACCAAATCGGTTCTTTCATTTTACATAATGTTATTTATGGAAAACTAATTTTAATTAGTTATGTTAGTTATACCAGAGACATATAATACATGTATTACCAGAGACATATAATACATGTATTACCAGAGACATATAATACATGTATTACCAGAGACATATAATACGTGTATTACCAGAGACATACAATACGTGTATTACCAGAGACATATAATACGTGTATTACCAGAGACATATAATACGTGTATTACCAGAGACATACAATACGTGTATTACCAGAGACATACAATACGTGTATTACCAGAGACATATAATACATGTATTACCAGAGACATATAATACATGTATTACCAGAGACATATAATACGTGTATTACCAGAGACATATAATACATGTATTACCAGAGACATACAATACGTGTATTACCAGAGACATATAATACGTGTATTACCAGAGACATATGATATGTGTATTACCAGAGACATATAATACGTGTATTACCAGAGACATACAATACATGTATTACCAGAGACATACAATACATGTATTACCAGAGACATATAATACATGTATTACCAGAGACATATAATACATGTATTACCAGAGACATATAATACATGTATTATATGTTTCTGGTGATACGAATATATTAATTACAAAAATGAATACTCTCTTCATTTCATATTTTTCTACATCGGCATTTCCCAGTATTTGACAGATTGGTTATGTTACTTCCATTATTCCATAATGCCTTCTTTTTCCGGTATTTATTCGATGTTTTTTAAAAGCAGAGAAATTAATATTTGTAATCAAATTAACAAAATATTGAAAACGGCTGCAAAATTTACGAATTAACGTATTCACTTGATTTTTATACCGTTTTAACATGATGACCACTGCATTGAACTATGTAACATACATAAGTGGACCAGTAAACCCTTTGAGCGCCGAGACGTTGTTTTTTTACATTGTTACGTTGCCATACATATTTGAATGACGTTACTATAAACGATACGTAACCTAACGTCAACACATTACCTACAAGCACATGCACGTTATCCTCGTTAATCGATTAATTGGACATCTCATACATTCGGGGAAATCCAACATCCTCAGGACTAATCTTTTAATTTGAGTACACGTGGCGGACCTTGCGTATATTCAGTGATATTTTTTTTTAATTTTTGGGTTGGAAATCGAAGTTATTTTATTACATTTCTATTTCTTTTTCTAGAATACTATAAAAAAAACACGACAATATGGAAATAGATAAAGGTTTCATAATATGATAAATATTACAAACAATAAAGATATATTGAAGAAAATATAGCTCAATTACTGTATTTTGATATAAAGGATCATGCAGGATTTGATATCATCGAGGGATTCAAAAGACGAGCAGTGTTCTCATCTTCATATTTGGCGCGAGTCTTTTTTTTTTATAAAGTACCGTAGATGAAGAGTCCGACTTAACACTTTGTACTATACATCACCACAAAAATCGGGATACTAGTATATAGCATTTTAATGATTCATGATTTAACCATGAAAATCTTAACTGATTGATCAATAAATCGAATGACAACTGCGTTCAGCGGCAAATATTTCATGAATATTCACAACAATAACTTATCTTTTTTCTGATAATGTATAATCTGAAATAAGTTTACTTTTGCATTACAATTGTGTGACTTACCTATCATTGTTATTTGCCGTTTTGATTTTGAGGAATGTCACTTGTCTGACTAAACCAGTAGTAGTGAACTTTTAGCATCAATTTTGCTTCTTTTTATGTATAGCCTAAACTGATCTTCTATTTTTTTTTGTATTCAAGTCAATATTTTACATGTCAAAGGCATGCGAAGTTCCATTAATTTCGCTAAATCTATATTTTTGTATGCAACATTTAATGTCTTAATTTGATGTTTATCTGTGGTTCAAACTGTCTTGACCCTTTTATGGAGTAAGGTGATTTTTACAGATAATATCTAAGTGTTATGAACACAATTACAGGTACAGGTTAAAAGAAATCCTTTGCTGTGTTAAATACATGTCCGACTTAAATCAGTTTTATCATTAAATGAGGCCTGTCGATAAAATTGTTGTCTATTTCTTGTTGCGATCATTAACATCGAAAATCTGATATAAATCCCTTTTTTAATGGTGTGGTTTAGGCAGATGATGAGAAGAAACTATCTAATCTTAGAGACACACTCTTTTGGCAAGAGTTCATTTAGGAATTTCGGTAAAAATCGATATGGTCCAAAATTCTGTAACTATCTTTTTTTCATTGCTTTCTACTTTATGATGTATTATCTATTTTTTAAAACTAGTACATGGTTAGTTTGAAGTACGAAATAAAAGAGGTATTTTGGTATCAATAGTTTACCCCAATCATAATTACGGACGAGGTACTTTTCTTTTGACTGTGGTTGATTCTTTAAGTTTTTGATTTGATTTGATACATACACAAACATAATCACAAACTGTTTACTTCAAAAACCCTTCTCCAATTTTAAACAGAGATGCGGACTCGATGTAAATGAGACTTTAACTCCAGGACACAAACAACTAACAAAGATATATAGAGGTCAACTTACAGTCTTAAAAGATAGTCGGACATTATACAATATTTCAAACACTAAAAGGATTAAGTATACATAGTCTGTGAATAAATTATCAGAGACTACTAAAATTTACTATCGGCATTCATTTCCTAAAAAACAATATAACAGTCGGATATTAACGAACACAACCTCTTGGACAATAAAAGAAAACACTCAAATATTAACGAAAACAACGACTGGGACAATAAATCAACTCTGACATGAGTGAAAACATCCGCCGTTGACTGACACAGATAAATGGTGCCGGGTTGAAACAATCCTCATATCCCATACCTTGTATAACGATAAAGTTAGATAGAAGAATGCACTTGTGTGAAGAATAGACGATTTTAGACGACCCTTTATTTTTCAGTTGAAAAATTTGAAATAAAACTCTTTTTACAAGAATGGACATTTTCAAATTACATGAATTAATCAACCCTTTCTTGTGTGTTCTTAAAACTGAAAAAAAATGCTTTGTTATATGCAATATTCAGGTTCCACCATAAGGAAAGCTTTTGACATAAATTTTTAAAATAAACTATTGGACTAGATGATCACGATGAGGACATGGCACAGAGAATGTTCGCTCCCTCGAGATTTGGAAGTCAAACGGAAACATTTCTTAAAACACTATGGTCTCGGAATTACAAGAAAGGCCCCATTATATTTTGTATACTTGTATCTCTTTTCCTTAGCTCTATTGATTATATCTTGATCTTTTTCATAGTATAGTCATACGTAGTAGTTAGATTAGAGTCTTGTTTAATCTTTCCTACTAACAAAACAAAAAACAAAAACAAAAAAAGATTCAAAATGCTGACAATAGTTTAATAGTTTTAATGGATCAGATGGACTGAAAAAATCTAGATGCTGTTAATAACTTCTGTATAAAAAAGTTTGTATATCAATTTTGTGTGTCGGATTTGAATTTTCAGTACTAGTATAAGCTTAACTTTTGCATAGAATCATGCACTGCCGGTAGTGTTTATATATTGTTTTTCTTTAGCTACTGTTTGGTTGTGAAAGTAAACAATTCATAATTTTCTTTTGGTATCAGTATTATTTTGAAAAAGTCCGTTATGATATGAAAGTGATGATATTAGGTATGGTTACAAATGAGACACCTATAGCCACCAAAGACATCAGGACAAGGCTATAAACTACGGGTCGTCGTACTGCCTTCAACAATAGTTTTGTATATATGATCTCCCCCAGTTTTTGGTTGGGTTCGTGTTGCTCAGTCTCTAGTATTCTATTGTGTGTGTGTACTGTTAATTTTCTTTTGGTCAGTTTTCGTGTTTTGCCATGGCATTGTCAGTGTGTTTTCGACCTGTGAGTTTGACTATCCCTTTGGTATCTTTCGTCTCTCTTTTATGTATGCAAGACCTTCATGTAATTCAATGTGAAACAATTAGAATGAGAAAGTTCATGACATGTTAAGCTTGAGCATTGAAGGATCGAAAAACAAACAAAGGGTTATAACGACAACCACTTGGCCAAAGGCTTCCTCCTGGCTTTGGAAAAGTTCAGTATATTTTTGTAGGCGCTGATCCCCTCTTCTAACCTTGAACTGTCGGTGTCGTGTACCAGTATAACATTAGAACAAATAGCAAAAAATATTTGAAAAAAGTTTGACTTGTCAGAATTGGACCAAGCACAAAAAAACCTAACACAATGACAAAAGACAAAAAGTAAATAAAAAAATAAAGGATATGTTATTCAAAACACGATCTTAACTAAAAATAGAACATGTTTTCAAACTTGGAATTGACAACAAAGTGGGACGCATGAACAATTAAGGCGGAGTATGAAAATTGTATGCCATGATCAAGTATTAGAATGATAAATAAGAAATTCAGGGTATGATGTGGCTTTTCGCAGAAATTTTTTAAAAGACATTGTCGAAATTATTAATAACTTTAATATTTTGGTATTTTTGATACTAATGAAGTCAGCATATGTTTACACCAACAGCTAATGGTTACGTTTCTCAAGAAATATGTTGGGTAAAATAGTGCATTCAAAAACAGATATTCCAGAATTCGACCGACTTTATCTGCCGAGCTAGCCTCCTAAATTTGAACAAACATTTTTATTGAATATTTTACAGAAATCAAACTGTGATACCAATTATCGAACGATTTGCAATCTGTAACACTTCCCATTGTGAAAATCAGTTAAAATACAATGGTTTTACTGCAAAACGTTACCAGTAATTTCAAGTACCTGCCACTTTTATACGCACAAACGTCACACACAGCACCAATTTTGATGACGTCATTCGGATAAACGTTACAATTTGAAAATAAAATAACAATTGTTTTTTTTTTTACTGTCAACCATGTGAACTAATTTCACTAAGTTAGTTTAATAAATAAAGGCATACAAAGTTTATAATTGGATTATAGCTTGTGTAAAAATTTGCACGTTACCTCTAAAAAAAAATTGTTTTCAACCAGAAAAATTCAATATATATTTGTGACTTTTAGGGTTATTTTTGTATAACAAAATAAAGTAAGTTATTTTTCTTCAAATCTATTATGGTTTCGGCAGTAAAAAGATGTTTTTTATATACATTTTTAATGGTTTGTGGGTTCTGCTAAAAAGCGACAAAAATGTCGTTTTGGCGTGCTAGCGGTAAACGACAAAAATGTCGTTTTGGCGCCGAAAGGGTTAATCTTTTTTAAGCATTTGAAGGCAACCCGTTAAAACTTTTATTTTCCGTCCTGAATGTAGTCACGCAGAAATTTTCTATATTGAGAATTTAAGATTCCGGCATATAATATTTTTTTATACAAATTCGACCTTTAAGGTTTAAACTACAGAAAAGGTTTTACGTCATCTTTGCTAGCCAATGGTTACAATCCGGTTTCTCCTCTACCCTTTTCAGATTCAGACAAAATTTGTGAATACAGCGCTGCGCCATCTAGTGCCAAATAAAAGTCAAACTAACTCCGACTACATAATTCTCACCCATTGAGAGCACAATTGTGTCCAATGAATAAAAATGTCATAAAGTGGAAACCGCATATATACGTTGACATTTCATCGTTTGCTTGAGGAACATATCCACGAACTTCAACAAGTTGATAAAGAACTTTGAATATTGTCCTATGTATGTGTGGGAGTAAGACTATTGGTCAAAATCTACACGTCGCAATAGTTTTTGTTTTTGTTTTTTTTTCGTTTTCTATATTTACACGTGTTCCTCTTAAAAGCGCTTTTTAATTGGATGCAGCCTGTTACAACCACTGGAACTCTTTACCTAATGGTTCCGATATTCTGCCTTAATCCGCCAAGGATGAAGGAAAGGATGTCACATCGTAACCCTTGGCTAGCGAAGATGGTTTGTGTAGAAACAAACATTCACATCGGAATTGAACTAAAACTAAAATTTGTTTTCCAGATATTGAAGAATGCATTCGATCAATGAATGGATATGACTACTTAGGTACTAAAGACACAACTGTACGTGGCCACACATGTGAACCTAACAAAGATGGATTGATTGCATGTAGAGGATCATTTGATTACGATTCTCCATGGTGTTTTATTGATCAGAATGAAAATTGGGATTCGTGTGATATACCAAAATGTAGTAAGTAAGACATTACCTACCCCAAAATGTCGTTATAAAAGCAAACTTGCAAATTAATGAACGACTGTAAATATTATGCAAAAAATTAATGGGCTTTACAAATTCCATAACGACTTTTAGTTTTGAGGAAATTCCATTCAAAATAACACAATCCGGATATAACCTGTGACAAAGGACGTATTCTTGTAGTTATAATTTTTAGTAATCAGAAAACACATTTAATTTCAAATCATATGCTCCTTTATGTTCTAAACAAAATCGTTTATTGTTTTGTATAGAGTGTTCTTGTGTTGTGTCGTTGCATCATTGTCCCAAGTTAGGGGTTGGTTGGCGCTTTCAAACATGTTTAACCCTGCGGCATTCTGTATGTACCTGTCCCAAGTCAGGAGCCTGTAGTTCTGTCATATTTGTTTTTCGTAAAAGAGAGGTGAATGATAACAAAGGGACATGGCCACAGACCACAATTAATTCCCCCTATTAGTTCTTTATAACGTTTTGTCGCATTAAACAAAATTTACTAGTACCTGTTTTTTGTCAAATCTTTTGTGTGTGTAATGTACAGTACAAGTCCAAAAATATATCCATGTTTCAGAAAAATTGAACGTTTACATCTTACAAATTTAGCCATTACACATCCATACCCCTATGGACAAGTCAAGAGATGTTCCGAAAACTGTAAATATTACCTTTTTGCACCTGGCCTAATCACTCTTTCCATATCAAAATCAGTTAAAATAAAACATCCAAAAATTTATTTCAGCTCTCTTCTTTCATTTCCACCTTACAAAAACTAAGAAATGTATGAGAAAAAGAATGAAAAAAAATAAAGAAAAAATACACTTTAATTAAAGGGAACTATATTCGTCATTAATTGTGGTCTGGGCCACATTCAAACTCATAAGTCGAAAATAAACTGACAACGCCATGGCTAAAAAAGAAAAAGACCAACAGACAAACAATAGTACACAAAACACAACATAGAAAACTAAAGACTGAGCGACAGGAACCCTCGTCAAAAACTTGGGGTGATCTCAGGTGCTCCGGAAGGGTAAGCAGATCCTGCTCCACATGTAAATTGTTTTGTTATGAATTGAGCCGTTAGTTTCTCAATTGATTCATATTTTTCATGTCGCGGCCTTTTATAGCCGACTATACATTATGGTTTTTTCTCATTGCCGAAGGCCGTACGGTTGTCTATAATTGCTTATATCTACTTTAGTGGATAGTTGTCTAATTGGCAATCATACCACATTTCCTTATTTTTAAATTAATGCGACATTTCGATCTTTACCGATGTTCAAATCACGGAAATCGACCGTAAATCGTAAACAAGTACGAAATGGTAACGAATTGGATATAAATGGGTATTGAAAGGTAGGTACTAGATGACAGGCATTCCACCAGAACGGGTAACTGTGCATGTGTGAAAGACGTAAAAATCTGGTTTCACTTTGTAAAGGTACGAGTTGGTAAATTAATCAAAAAAATGTAACAGAAAATAGTTGTGACATGGCTAATATTTTACTTGTTTATAGTCGTCTGATCTTTTAATTTACCGACTGAGTCATATAACCTATTGTGACTTTATGAGTCGAATGAATGTGGATTCGCAATGCGGATGATGTATCCATTCATGACAGGAGATCCGTACCATGTTGACTCAATCGATGTTGTTTCTTTTCGAGTTATTGCGATTTTCTCAGTTTTTTTAAACTTTATATGAGTGCTACAAAGGATATTTTAAGATTGAACAGCAATCAGTAATGTAGTGTCGCCTCTAACTGATAAACACAAACTGAAAGAAAAAAAAATGAATTTTTATATTTATATAAGCACATTTTTCTGACAACGTAACCTCAACATGGAGACATTAAAATTAAGTAAGAACAGGTGAATGATTGTTTTAAATACGTTAGCGAAATCTCGCGCGTCTCAATATCAATGACATATTACCAATAACGTATTTCTGAGACATCTACGTTGACACCAAACTGCATTTATTTCACTCATGCATTTAATATACTATTCGTCATAGTAATCCAAACTATTGAAGCGGGTTGTACTATACTAGAAAACAGAAGCAGTCATTAATAATGAACTATTATTCGTTTCTGCGAAAATGACAATTAACACAAGTTATGGAGAAAATGATCAAACTTGAAATTTAGGTTTCAATTTTGCCGGATAGTGCTGTATGATACAAGAAGAGTGTATTGGCAATAACGTGTCTTACAAGTTTTAGCCTCACTTCTGTTTCGTATTTGATAACATAATAATGAGATAATAATTTCAACAATGGATGTGTTAGTGAAACGTGTAATAAGAAATTCTCATAAAATTTAGGGACAGCGTTAAAACAGGATCGGTCAGGACATGCATGACATACATTTTAATGCCTCATGTATTAAATCTTTTGAACCTTTAAAACATTTCATCCTCCGAAGCTTTCTACAGCTTACTTTACGGTATGCTGATACGTACATGTTTATGGAAGGGAATATCCGCCATAATTATACATTTCTTAATTTGTAAAATGCAATTTATTAACTTGTAACATGTATTTTTCCATCCGTTATATGAAATTCTACATTTCTTAATTTGTGAAACGTAATTTCTTTGTTTGTGTCACGTTTTGGGAGAATGTGGCAATGTAATTGTTTTTTTTTCTTAACAACATAATTATTTTATTCATCAAATATTGCTTGTTACATAAATCATCAAGATTCCAAGCTTCTCTTGACGTACCCTGTTATGATCCACTGACTACCCAGGGAATAGTCAGCTGATTAGAATAATTGACATACATTTTGTTTACAAAACATTATAATAACAATAATAGAAAAATTATTCATTGATTATGTTCCTTTTAATTGTTAGTAACATTGGGCTTATTGTCTTATGTCCATTTATATTGGTGTCTACTCTCTTAGTGTATCCATTGACAAAAATTCCGTAGACGTCTATGTTTTTTGTTTTCTGCTCAGATACATAGTATGACTTATATATTGAAAAACTAAGTATTGTAATTAAAAAATTTATTGAGTAATACTTGTTGTCTGTGATTTTGTATCCAAATATCAGGTGTTGTAGTTTTATTAAAAAATCTATATTACTCTTTTTTAAGAGGTCGTATATTTGCTGCCAAAATCTTGTCAAATACATGTAAGAACAATTGAAAAAATAGTGATCATAATCTTCTTCTATGTTACAAAAATTACACATATTATTATTAGTTATTTTCCATTGTAATAAAAGCTTTTTTGTTGGTACAATAAACTGTAGTAATTTCCATCTGAATATTTTTAATTTATTTTCAGTTAAATATTTAAAAATAAAGTTATATAGTGAATTCATATTTGGAGCTTCTTGCATTGGTAGAATTTTAAGCCACCTGTTTATCCCTACTGACGGTTCTTTTTTTATTATTCACTAGCGAATCATATAACATTTTATTTGAAAAACATGTAGTCTCAAAATAACGATCTTTCCATGTGATCTTATTTCTATTGACATTTACTGTACTTTGAACAGAATTTTCTTGTTTAACTATGTGAATCCAATTTTGTGGAATAGCATGTTTCAATATATGAAATTCTGCAATCCAGTTTACCTTACACTTTAATTTGTTTAAAACATATTTTTCTGATAATGACATAGTGTCATCTAAAATGTCATTTAAGTATATCATACCACTCTTAATCCAGTTTTCAAAGAAAATTGGTTTATTATGAAATGTAATAAATTTATTCCCCCATATTGTCTGCTTTCTTATATCAAAATATGTATCTGGTTGTTTTGTTTGCCCACCCCCAGTCAAAATCCAGGACTTTATTACTTCTCTATAAAATTCTGGAACACATTTAAATTATTCTAAATGTTTTATATCATCTAAATTCATATTAAATATAAATAAAATATTGTTAGACACCTTTAGATATTTAAAAGGTATAAGCTTCCAGTTGGCAAATTTACCATTAACAAGTCTATATACCCATGATGCCTTTAGCGACATAAAATAACTTTTAAAATCGACCATTTGTAATCCCCCTTTTTCATATGGACGTATTATCAGGTTTCTTTTTACTTTGTCTGGCTTCCCATCCCAAATATATTTAAAGCTTCGTGTTTCTAGTTCTTTAAGATAATTTTCGGGAGTTAAGCAAACACTTCCCAAGAATGTAAATAAAGGCAAGATTAGTGCTTTAATAATTAGTATTTTCCCTAAAATTGAAAGATTCCTTTTTCCCCATGTCTTGAACATTTTTATCATTTTTTCTATTTTACAATCCCAATTTAATTTTTTGCATTCCTCTTTATCATGTCCAAAAAACACCCCTAAAGCTTTAATAGGTTTATCTCCCCAATTAATCCCCGCAATTTTATCTTTGCATGATTTCAATTTCCCGATCCATAATCCTTCTGTTTTATTTCTATTTACCAATAAACCTGAAAACGAGCCAAATATTTCTATTATATTCATTGCAGATATTACATCGTTTTTATCTTTACAAAATAATGTTGTGTCATCTGCTAATTGTGAAATCGTAATGCTGTGACTTTTCCCATCTAACTTAATAGTGATTCCTTTTACTTCGTTGCTATTTCTCAACTGTAGGGCCATAATTTCAACAGCCAAAACAAACAATAATGCTGGTAAAGGACAGCCTTGTCGGATTCCCCGTGAATTTTTGAAATTTTCTGATACCCACCCATTGTTCATGACACATGTTTGAACGTCTGTATACATAGTTTTAACCCACTTAATAAATGATTCATTAAATCCAAAATGTTTCAAAGTTCCAAGCATAAAATCCCATTCTAACGAATCAAATGCTTTCGTAAAATCCACAAATACAATTGCTCCCTCAATTTTGTATCTTTCTGAGTAGTCTATAACATCTTGGATTTGTCTCAGATTAAACCCAATAAATCTATTTTTAACATAACCGGTTTGATCCTCATTTATAATTTTTGGAAGTACCTTTTTTAAGCGTTGAGCAAGAACATATGATAACATTTTAAAATCTATATTAAGAAGAGATATTGGACGATAGTTTTCCAAACGTAAAGGATCCCCCTTTTTGAATATTGTGTAATTGTTACCGCTGTCAGTCAATGAGAAGTTCGGTTTCTCAAGAAAAGCTACAAGTTACAAATTTAGAAGTTTTACAAATCCAGAATGAAATAGTTCCACAATAATCCGCACGAGGTCGCTGTGTATCCATGTGAACTCGTATCTTAGCCAACTCGTACTCAACCAACTCATATTTCTACCAACTCGGTCCCAATATTTTATCATTGATATGCAGTTTTCATTTTCTTTTATATAGTATAGAAACAGTACAATAAAGAACAACTCTATTGTTTGGTAATCTAATGCAATATGTTTTCAAATCAGAAATATCTAAAGTTAATCATTCGTCTTAGACAATGAGCTCTATATTCCTGGCACTGTATTAGATGAATATAGAACAGAGCGAACCAGTTCTTCGTCAACAAATCATGACACGATCCCAAAAATGTCTTACTCTAGTGATACTTCAGCTGGCAAATGACAGTGACAGGGGCCGACCCTTCGTCCACCAAACGCAAATGCTCCACCGACTTCTGGCACGGATAGGGGGTTGGTGCAAGAGGACTCTCTAAAAACAAATCGACCAGTAATGAAACTGTAAATAGTGAATATGAATTGAACAACGATAGCTTAAAGTTTTGTTTCTTAAATGATTGTGGGCTGAAGAAAAGACTGCTGGTTCCGGATTTCATTGACATTTTGCTTGGACATGATATCTGTATTTTTAGATAATTTAAACCTACCAGACGATTATATTTATGTTTTTGAACTATGTTTAATTCCTGTGCTTGCCTTATCGCTTCAAAAAGATCGAAATGCCTTCATTTATAAACTAACTAGGAAAATCTTCATGTTCGACGCAAAAATCAGTGAAAAAAAAAGCTCCATAGAATATGGGAGAACATTTTTTTTTATTTTAGCGTTAATCATGTGTTCAAGAATTTTTTTCTGGTTAGTTTATGTATGAATCCTTTCTTCTCTTTTTGAAGCAATAAAGCCAGCACAGGATTTGAATATAGTCCAATCGTTTTTTTAATGTTATTTAGATACTATAACAGATACGAACCATGATTACAAATGTAAGATCATACATTTCGCCCTTATTCCCCCTCCCCCAAGCTTGGTTTTTACAAAGTTAATAAGTAAAATTTTGGTGCAGCATTTATTCCAAAATCTGTATTTTCATAAACTCTTCTATGTTTATTTTTCATTTAAACAACCCCATTCTATTTTTGTAGGTCCGAGCCTATTATCCACTAATCAGGCGCAGACTCCAGCTGTTTTCAAAAGTGGATTCCAACATATACAAGTCATATAAAAAGGGGGTCATATGTCACTATACAATAGCCACTGACTATTGATCACTGATTAGAACATTGTATGATTATAATTATTCAACATGTATACGAAATAAATAATCGTTCAAACAATTTCCTATAATCACTTACTTCTAAAGACGAATGATTAACTTAAGATATTTCTGATTTAAAAAACAAAATGGCATCAGATTACTAATCAATAAAGTTGTACTTTATTGTATTTTGTATATTAGGTAGCTACCATTTGATTTTTATGGGGCGGGGGCGTGGGATAGGATGAAATTTAAGAAAAAGACAGGACAGGAGTTTTTAAAAAAAATGGCAGGATGAGCAACTTTGCAAAAAAAAGGCAGGATAATAGTTTATTTTAAAAAAAGTCAGGATAAACTAATAAAAAAAGGCAGGACCAAATAGAGTGAAAAATAAAAAAGCAGGACAGAGATTACAACTAAAAAAATGAAGGACAAATAACTTTTTTCATCCTAACCCCCTCCCCATAAAAATCAAATGGTAGCTCCCTTATATAAAGTACATGAAAACTTTAATACGGATAAATAATAAAGTATAGGTAGAATACGAGTTGGTAAATACGAGTTGGTAAAAGTACGAGTTGGTAAAAGTACGAGTTGGTAGAAGAACGAGTTGGTAAATATTGAGTACATGTTGGTTGAGTATGAGTTGGCTAAGGTACGAGTTGACATCGATCCACAGCGACCTCGTGCGGAATATTGTGGAACTATTTCATTCTTGATTTGTAAAACTCCTTGATTTGTAACTTGTTGATTTGTTGCAGCTTTTCTTGAGAAATTGAACTTTTCATTGGCTGGCAGCGGTAACAATTACACTGACACATTCTCACATATTAAGAAATGTAGAATTTCATGTATCAAATGAAGAAAATATTTTAACAAATTAAGAAATTGCATTCACACATTAAGAAGTTACATTTCACAAATCAAAAAATGTAGAAATTCAAGGTATCGGATGGAAAAAATAATGTTACAAATTAAAAAATTACATTTTAAAAATTAAGAAATTGCATGTAACAAATTAAGAAATTGCATTTTACAAATTAAGAAATGTATAATTTTGGTGGACATTCCCTTGCATACATGTTCACATTATATGGAAACAGGGGTGTGTTCCGTATTACACGAACATCCCAAAGATGGTTATGCGAAAGAAAGATTGAAGTCGACACGGTTTTACGGTCCCCATCACGACCAATACATTGTTTGTGTGTGTGTGTTTAAACAAAATTATGTTTCAACAGTCTTAGATCGTTAGATGCCAGGAAAGTCGTCTGATCTTTACAGTAACTAATTAAGACCTATCACCTATCGTGACATTTTTACAGAGTGTAAATTCACATGGCAAGTGATGAATACACATCAAGAGAAGCTATCGACGCTTCCCGTCTCGCTCTTTTGATTTCTATGGATTCTATCCGTTTTTGTTTTTTTTTATCTTGATTTTTATGTTCTGAATGGAATGAAACTTTAAGGTTTGGGCATCTATCCATAAATTAATGTTGTTGCTAATATATAATAGTAAAAGGAATTGAAAATTTTAATAGAACGATGTTTGAGATACATTTCACCCAATTTGTACTGATACATTTTTTCCTATTCCTGTAGCTACAGCTCCAGTAGAATGTTTACAAACACCAAAAGGAATAGACTACTTCGGAAGTACTTCTGTCACAGAAACAGGCAAAACATGTCAAAGATGGGATAAACAAGAACCACATCAACATAAATATTGGGCTTTGGTAGACCAGGATAACTTTTGTCGCAATCCAGATGGTGATAGCCGGCCTTGGTGTTTTACTGCGGATCCAGATGTGGAATTTGAATACTGTAAAATTTCATACTGTGGTATGTAGTCTAAAGAAATAATCCACAATGCTTTTCAATATAAAACTAGTGAACAAAAAGGTAAAACATGCTACACAGAGGAACAAGTGATCAGTATGCTGGAGTTTCTTATTGACAACATATTTGTTGAATTTGGAGGTAGACTTATTCAGCAAATTATCGCCATTCCTATGAGAACGAACTGTGAGACTCTCCTTGTCGACCTCTTCTTATTTTCATATGAGTCGGAGTTCTTCAGACACTTGTCAAAAACAAAAGATCAAAGAAGCTAGATCATTTAATTTCACATTCAGATATATTGATGATGTTTTTTTTCAATTTACAATCCAATTTTTCTGATTGAATTCCATTAATATATCCTCCAGAACTAGAAATTAAAATAACAACAGACACGGCTTCCTCATTTTTAGACTTATACCTCGAATTTGAAATAAGCGGTTATCTCAGTCCCAGAATCTATGACAAACGAGACGATTTTCATTTTGAAATTATCAATCCTCTCCCACCTTAGAAGCAATATACCAACCTCACCTGCATATGGGATATACATTTCCCAACTCACTCGTTATACAAGAGCTTGCAGCTGCTATTCAGAATTTATAAAACGTCACCAGTGTCTGAGCAGAAAGTTGATGAACCAGAGTTATGTCAAAGAACGTCTCATCCTTTTTCTAAAAAAGTTCATCGGAAGATACCAAGACCTTGTTCATAAATATTCCATATCAACTTCACAAATAAATCATGATGTTCTTGAAGTATAGATTCTAGGTACTGACGTTGTTTATCATCCTTATTATGTTTTATAGTGTCCAGTTTTGGTAATATCCTTTTGGCGTGGCTCGGTACTTATACATCCTGCCATTGTGTTATTGTGCTTTGGCCATTTTTTTTATTCTTGTCTTTCATTTTTGCTTATGTGCTTTGTCTAAATGCCATTTTGTTTTTCTTTCTTGACATATTTGTTTGTTTGTATAATGATTTAGATTATAACACAATAATGACTGCTGTATCCCTATTTTTGACATTTTTACCTATTATTTCTGATTATTTTGTTCACACATTATTAATGAAATTTTATGCCACTGTCATTCAAGTGAGAGGTTTAACTAGCTATAAAACCAGGATTAATTCACCATTTTCTACATAAGGAAATGCCTGTACCAAGTCAGGAATATGACAGTTGTTTTCCATTCGTTTGCTGTGTTTGAGCTTTTTTTTTTTGCCATTTGATAAGGGACTTTCCTTTTTGAATTTTCCTTGGAGTTCGGTATTTTTGTCATTTTACTTTTTATACACTGATTGATTACATACAATATGTTCACTTCATTTAATTGTTTTTCATATCTTGTTTTGAATAAATAATGGGAACATTTTTAAGTATATCAATAGCAGCGGGTCTTTGATATTTGAAGTCAATCATTTTGACCTTGAGAACATCTTAAGCATTATAACTGGCGTCATATTCGATCTTTACATAAAATACAACCTTTCGCAGATAAAATCAAGGTATACATTTACTTAGTTTAAGGAACTAAGACACCTTGCAAGAAACATCGAGAGATTATTTGTACATTTGCCGTTGCAATTTCAATTACTTCCAGTCCAACGTGAGTGCCATTATAACCGTTTTTACAACCGTTTTGGTTAAAAATAAGAGGTTTCTTTGATAACTTTATGTAAAGTCCTATGAGGCAACATGTCCATGTATACGGAATAACTTTCTCCAAGATTTTTAAGTAAAATTAAAGACAAAAAATAGTTAACTTCAGTTTAAGTTACCAAAAAATAATAACATTACATGTATGTTTCATAAAAATCCGTACTTTTGATTGGCTGATAACGCTCGATAGGCAATCCAAAATTGTATTTTATTATTTTTATAAAATTCAACATTCACAACTGCATGTGCTTCCCGTGACAAAATCACAACAATGCATAGGAAAACAAACGAAAGATTGATATAATGAATTAAAACTTCCACGACATCAGTAAAAGAGGGACGAAAGATACCAGAGGGACAGTCAAACTCATAGATCGAAAACAAACTGACAACGCCATGGTCAAAAATAAAAAGACAAATAGACAAATAATAGTACAGATGACACAACATAGAAAACTAAAGACTAAGCAACACGAACCACACCAAAAACTGGGGGTGTAAAGTTATAACCTATATTGATAAATATATTAAAATAATAATAAATATTGGATTCGAAATACAAGTACCATGTTTTTATTATTTTCCAAACTTCTAAAATTCATCCATGGCAAAAATACCGTATTAATTTTTAACATTAAAACAGCTGTAAACTTGATATTAATATATGTGTATATTTATTATTGCGATTCCCTAACAAACAGACAAAAAATACAAGCTTTATTGATGCAACTTCATGAAAAGAGAATAATAATGATCACAAAATTATTCATAAAATTTTTCTTGATTTAAAAAAAAACAAACCAGCAGAGATATTTTAGAATTATTAATAATGCATGTTTATCGCTTGCCTTTAACATAAAAGATAATTCTAATCTAAATCTGTTAAATTTGTTTGCCTTATTATCCCTTCGCCTATCACTACAGATGAACTAGGGTGTTCCAACAACCCTTGTGAACACGGTGGCACATGTACAGACATAGAAGATGGTGGGTTCAACTGTCAGTGTCGATCTGGATACATGGGTGCAAAGTGTGAATCACGATTAGCCGATGGTAAGCATTTTACATTGTGTGAAATATCTTTTATTAAGAGTGCATATATTTTGATCATGGGTTAAAACTCGATGATATCATGGATTAACTAAATTGAAAATATTTACACATTGACCCTTTGAATTTTCGAGTTGATGCTATTGAATGGTTTATTCACATTGCAGATTTTGTATATTCTTGTATGATGAACCGTATGGTTAACCGTATTACAATAAAGCTTCCCACTGCCAGTATTTAATTTAATTTAGTCCTAGTGTAAGCATTCACAATGAGAAAATATATACCAAATTCCTTAATATAAAGTATCGTATGATAAAGTCATACTTTTGTAATCTGAATTAAATAGAAACGAATATCTTTTAGAATGTAATGATTGATTGATGTTTAATTAACGTCAAGTGGCAAATATTTCATGCACGTTCAGGACGATTTGTATAAAAAATGGTGCGCCTTTATTTATAGATAAAATAATATCTAATTGTAATATTGAATTCAGATGACACATTTGTTTTTAAATAGCTGACTGTAAAAGATCGAAGGTTGGTTATGAATACAACGGAAAAATTCATGTTACCAAAAACAAGTATTTTTGTCAACAATGGGCCAAAGATGAACCACATTCACATCAATTTAATAACTTGCCTGAAAATTATTGCCGAAACCCAGATCAAGATGTCGAGCCGTGGTGTTTCACCACAGATCCAAATAAAGTATTTGATTTCTGTGATATACCTTTCTGTAGTAAGTACTAGACATTATTACACACATTTATACTGATACCTTTCTGTAGTAAGTACTAGACATAACCTTTCTGTAGTAAGTACTAGACATTAGTCCACATATTTATACTGATACCTTTCTGTAGTAAGTACTAGACATTAGTCCACATATTTATACTGATACCTTTCTGTAGTAAGTACTAGACATTAGTCCACATATTTATACTGATACCTTTCTGTAGTAAGCACTAGACATTAGTCCACATATTTATACTGATACCTTTCTGTAGTAAGTACTAGACATTAGTCCACATATTTATACTGATACCTTTCTGTGTTAAGCACTAGACATTAGTCCACATATTTATACTGATACCTTTCTGTAGTATGCACTAGACATTAGTCCACATATTTATACTGATACCTTTCTGTGTTAAGCACTAGACATTAGTCCACATATTTATACTGATACCTTTCTGTAGTAAGCACTAGACATTAGTCCACATATTTATACTGATACCTTTCTGCAGTAAGTACTAGACATTAATTCACACATTTATACTGATACCTTTCTACAGTAAGTACTAGACATTAATTCACACATTTATACTGATACCTTTCTGCAGTAAGTACTAGACATTATTTCACACATGTATACTGATACCTTTCTGTAGTAAGTACTAGACATTATTCCACACATGTATACTGATATCTTTCTGCAGTAAGTTCTAGACATTATTTCACACGTTTATACTGATACCTTTCTGCAGTAAGTAATAGACATTATTCCACACATGTATACTGATACCTTTCTGTAGTAAGTACTAGACATTATTCCACACATGTATACTGATATCTTTCTGCAGTAAGTTCTAGAAATTATTTCACACGTTTATACTGATACCTTTCTGTAGTAAGTACTAGACATTAGTCCACATATTTATACTGATACCTTTCTGCAGTAAGTACTAGACACTACCTTTCTGTAGTAAGTATACTAGACATTATTTCACACATTTATAATGATACCTTTCTGTAGTAAGTACTAGACATTATTTTCACACATGTATAATGATACCTTTCTGCAGTAAGTACTAGACAATATTCCACACACATATACCGATACCTTTCTGTAGTAAGTACTAGACATTATTCCACACAGTTATACTGGTACCTTTCTGCAGTAAGTACTAGACATTATTTCACACATGTATACTGATACCTTTCTGCAGTAATTACTAGACATTATTCGTCACAGTTATAAAGGCTCATGTTAAAAAATAGCCCCTTCAGTTCTGGAGGTCACGACCGAGTGAATGTGAAAAAGCCATTTATATCTCATTTCGTATATGTAAATTAATGACTGTTGATATGTTATTAAAACCATACATAGGAAATAATGGGATAAATGTATAATGCCAAATAGGCAAACGGGATGTGTAATAATGTATCAGTTTTGACTATCAGCGCTTATCCAACATTGTGCATCATAGGCGATCCTATAGCAATATGATTATCGATCGAGTCTGGAATATCCATAGGAATCAGGAATCATATCTTCCGTATATAAGAGGGTATGGATGGGTGATCTTTCATTTCTGTATATTTTTTTCGCTCAATATTCTTTATCCTTAAACATGATCAGTATGCTGGAGTTTCTTATTGACAACATATTTGTTGAATTTGGAGGTAGACTTATTCATAATATCCATAATGCGTTTTTTTTCTGAGTAAGAAAATATGAATCGTGCAATCAATCAATGGTCGTTCCCTTATTGTCTGAAAAAGGGGATTGTTTTACCTCGAGGAGCCGCATCACGAAAGGATTTTCGGGGTGTGATAATTTACAGAAAAATGAATTGCATTTCGTACCCCGAAAATTTAACCACATATGTGAAAATGTCTCAGCTTCGAAACGAGCCATCATACATATCCAAGTTTACGATATGGACTTAGCTACAGAAGAAAATGTTACCATTACCGCCTATGGGAAATCAATTACGCATACTGACCCATCTAGATATGTCTGTATGTTCGTTGTTCTATCTTAGTATTATTGTCCTTTGAGGAAGTTTTGTGGGTTTTTTCTATTCGAAGTAGATCTTTATTTCTAATACCGAATACAGGCTCAATACATTATCGTGTTATTTTTAAGAATGTTTCTAACTATGGACAGAAAAAGTTTGGATCCTCAATTCTCTTTAACTTTGAACTTTTTTTGGCCGTTAGCTTTTTTTTATTCGAATGTCACTGATGAGACTTTAGAAGACAAAACGTGCGTCCGGCGTACATAATTATATAAGCCTGGGGCCAGTATCATGAAAACCTATCTTAAGTTTCATTTAAGAGAAGACTTACGAACGCTTTACGAGAACGTTACGATGGTGCTAAGAGCGTATCTCCAATCCCCTCGTGGGTTACTCTTAACAATTTTACGCCTATCTTAGTATACACTTTCGACTGTGAGTTAAGATAGCACTCTTATCGACTTTTCCGAAGTGACCGTCTTTGATTTTTGAATCAATATTAGAATTCGCAGCAAAATAGGTGGTAAAATGCATGTGTGCGTTTAATAGAAAGCTCGAAAAACATACTTATATTAAATAGTTGAATTTTATAGTTTATTCTTTGTTGTACTGTACACCACTGTCCAGGGTGAGGGTAGGGTTGGCGCCTTCAAACGTGTTTAACCCCGCCACATTCTATATTTGCTTATCCCAAACTTATGCGTGCATTGGTTGTCGTGTTTTTCTCTTATGGTTGTCGTTGGTTCATGTCTGTCATATTTCGTAAATTGTTTTAAAAAATTGTTATAAGTTTACTCAATGTTCATATTTTTCATTTCGGGGCCTTTTATAGCCGACAATACGGTATGTTTTTTTTCATTGTTAAAGGCCGTACAATTGCCTATAAATATAGATTATAACATGGCATTTTTCCTATCAGACCCCTTATCAGCCCTAGGTCATGATATCAGCCCGAGAGCCGACAGGCTCGAGGGATGATTTTGACCATGGGCTGATAAGGGGTCTGATATGAAAAATGACATGTTATGTTCTTTTTATCATATACTTCAGCAGAAGCCATACAAACATGAAAACTTTTTTAAAACTTTATATAGAATTCATTTATTGTATTATTTGTTTTGCGTTTTTTAATAATATATTTTCCTGTTTCCTAATATTCCTTCTGTTATTCTACTTGGCTATCTTTTTCACTTATCTTTTTACCACTGAGGTATATTTTCCGGAATTTGCAGAATGACGTCGAAATGCTTTGCGATTATGTTAAAGAAAGGCATGCGATAATAACCGGAAGCAGTTGATATAAACCGGAAACAGTTGATATATACCGGAAGCAGTTGATAACAAAAGTCATATCACACGGCTAAGACAATTCTTCATTTGAACTTTGGTAGATATTTGTCTCATTGGTAATCATACCATATCTCCTTATTTTTATATTGACGAAATATTTTCAAACATTGAATAAAAACAAAAATGGCAGAGGGAGGCGCTCCAACCGGTCCGAAGAAAACAAGTGACAATTTGTCTTTCCCTATTTATATTTTTTTCTTTTTTGAAAGGCGGTGTTCCTTTTGCACCGTCTTGCGGTGTTTATATAACCAAACTCGTTCGGTATGCCCGTGTCTTTGGTCAGGTTTTGGATTTTAAGGGCATACGTAACAGTTTTGATCCCACGGTGATTTTTTACGAAAATTTGCATACAAGCTATTTTTCACCTAGTCAATGCAAATATGTAATAAAAAACAAACCTTCATGTGCTACTTTAAGCGATAAATGGGGTCGAAATTTTAGACATTTACTCAAAATTTCGTTTTTTGGACAATTTCTATCCTGTGGATAGACATACCTAACTTTTTTGTTTCAAAAGATAAACACAATAGGATTTTTGTAAAAACATTTGGAAAATCTCTTTTACATAAGTATGCTCTAAATTTTTATAGCAATTCTTTGGAAATAATTAATTTTTATCAAAGTTTCAGGATTTTAGGAAAAAAACGGAATTTTTTGCTGTATACTTATCTAATTTTAAAAAAATCTCATCGGTGACTTTTTCATAAAAATTGGTACAAATAATCTTCATACGTAATCAATCCTATTGTCATTTTAAGAAAGAGGGGTCCATGAACTCGTTTTCAAGTTATATCAGTCTGAATGATAAAAATAAGTCGAAAAATGCATCTTTTCCATATATGTCGCAGTTTGACGTCGCAAAAAAATAACATTTTACGTTGGCAACGTCATTACCTCCCCTATAACTGTATCGTATGCCCTTAATGAACGTAATCTATGTATTACTGGTAAATTATTAAAGTCGTGAATTTCGTTACCACGAATTATTTAAAACCTTTACTAAATTCTTCTATAGATACAAAGATTTGATTTTAAAAGGTTTGGCTGTACCTGTAGAAAATTTATTTCAAACGGAATAACACAGCTAAACTTTTACGGTGATGCTGTTTACTGAGCCCGGAAATTTATATACGATCTGGGTAAACTTATCAATCCTTTAAATAAACTTATTCTAAAAGATTACCAATTCAACACTGAGTGTAATTAGATCTTTGAATATTGGTATTTTTTTTTTGTATTGGTATAGATATTGATTTTGTTATCAGTAAATTAAAACCATAATAAATGTTATTCTTTTACACATATGCATGTTCACGATACTTCAATCTGTCGATACCTATATTTTGGCATTGTACAAGGTCATGTTTTTCTCTGACTGTTCATGACGTCTTTACACTAAATCCATTCGAGGTTGTGTGTGTAGTGATTGACATTTTAGTCTTAGATACATGATTTTTTTTTATCAGTTGTTATTGGCTTTGAACTAGCTGTCAATAACTGCGAGTACTCTCAGATCTGTACATTTTGTCTTTTTTGTTGTTATGGATATATAAATACCCTGCCACATTCGGTTTGTGTTTTTGTTTGAAGTTTTTCTGCTTTGTATCGATCTGATGAGCTAAGCCTTTTTCAACTGATTTTTATAGTTTGTTCTCATATTGTGCTGTAACTCCACTGTCAACTAGGGGAGGACTGAGCGCTCACAAAGATGTAATTGTTTTGTTATAAAATTATTATTATTATTTTTTTTATGAGAAAAGCCTTTAACTTTAACAAAGATGATTTGGAAACAATGCTAACAGCTATTCAGCAGAACAAAATGCTGTAACTAGGGACATTTTCCGATTCTGTAATCACGGACAATCTGACGGTCGTCTAGGAAAACAAATGGATTTGTTCGATCTCTGAAGACCCATTTGGATATCCTGTTTTGTTCTCTTGAACGCACATGCAAGAACATTGCAAGCGCTATTTTGTCAACTAAGAGAGAGATATAGTGGTGCCCCTGACCACTCTTAGAATTTTCTGTTAAGTTTTCAGTAAAAAAAAGAATGCTGATACACTTAAAATTTCTATGAGTAATCAAAGACGATCTTAAATTGATTATCGACGTTCGAGAACCCCAGTCGATAAGATTAAAACTAAGAGAGCGTTCCGAGAAGGATAAAGAGTACACTTGGGGTTGCGAGTGGGACATGCATTTTAAGGGCTGTCAATTATTCTAAGATTACTTCAAGATACACTCTTAGCAGATAAGATGATCATAAGATGATCTTAAGCACTAAGATTGCTTCATGATACCGGCCCCTGGTATCTGTGATGATTTGTTTTTTTCACATAATATTTGGAACAACAAAAATTTTGAAATTAAACGAAACCAATTTAGATTTTTTTTTAAAAGAAGATCATTATGTCTCGACGTGTATGGACTTGGTTAAGGTCTTATGTGCTGACAGACACGGAAAGGATGAGTGAGTGAGTGAGTAAGTGTATGGACTTGGTTAAGGTTTTATGTGTTGACAGGCACGGAAAGGATGATTTAGTAAGTGAGTGTGTGGACTTTGGACGATGTTTACATGTAGATGTTTGCTGATATGTGTGGTTTGGTTAATTTTTCATATTAGAAATTTTCTTCACAGGGTACGCACACAAACATATGAGAAAAGTTTTTAGAAAGACATTATTCTGTGTACTGTATATATATTTTTTATTTAACAAAATCAAATGAAATAATTTCATGGATGAATAGGTAAAATATTTCCTTTTTTAAGCTTAAACAACAAATGGATTAAATAGTTTTTAAAGTTTGTTCATATACTGATTCTTTTCAAACATAACATATTTATGAACATAACAAGTTATATTGGTTATGCATAACGGTGATTAATAAAATGTTTATCTTTTCTCAGCTACTCCAGCAAAAGAGTGCCTAGGTACAAACAATGGGATTTCATATTTCGGAACTATGAATCACACAAAAGAGGGTACCGAATGTCAGAGTTGGAGTGCTCAGACACCTCACAGCCACAAATATGATTATTTAGAGGATCAAGGAAATTACTGTAGAAATCCCGATCAAGATGAAAACGGCCCATGGTGTTATACCACTGATCCTGATATTCGATGGCAATCATGTGACATTCCATATTGTTGAGATTAAATGTTATTATTTTCAAAAAATATATCTCCCTTTGTAACCACCCCAGCCCCTTTTCCCCTCTAAAACAATTTAAATAAAAACAGATTCATCCAATATGTCTGTCCATGTATCTTTTAGGCTTAACAGATATTAACGAACCATTGATATTACACGTTTCAAAGTAAAACTGCCTGATGATGTGAATAAAGGAAAACTAGCCTGGTCCGACATATGCAAGTTAACTGAGGGAAAAACTTGAATTTGCTTTCTTCGATATGCTAATTGTATTGCGGAGTGGGTACCATTTGTGAGTTCACCTCAAGATCTAGTTTATATCACTTCAAATGGCTGCCTTTTGTATCAATTTTTTTTTTACTGAATATGTATTGTATATTATTGTTCTAGCACACATGGCGTATAGTATTCTGCAATCCAATTTATTTATTTATTTAGTAATGTTAACATTAATATGCTATTTGATGTGTATTATATATTACTGTATTGCTTAATAAACAATATTTATTCTTGATTTTAAATAATAAGTTATTTACATTCTCAGTCGCTTTTCAAGTCTTCAAGTCAAGTAAGATCAACTAAAAGAAGTAAATGCAAGCTAACAATCTGTGCAATTTCGGGAAGAAAAGAACTGTTTTATGTTTTCTATACACGACAAAATCAACTATTTGCGCATGGAATAATAAAGTAAAAACGTCATTTTCTGTAAAATTTTGAGGCTATTCCGGAACCAAATTTATATATCTTGCCAATAGTCACGCCTTACTGCAACTCTTTACAAACTTTAAAACGAAACCCATTCAAGCCCGAGTACAAGATAACTAGGCCCGTAGATAGCTCGGGCAGTCTATATAGACATGTCGGTTCGTTATTCATGGAGACAAACGGCAAAAATTTTCAACAGAACAAGATTTAAAATTAAGTTAAATGGTTTACATCATCATAATGGTCATCAGACTACTTATAGGACTTTTACGAGTTATTTTCCTTCAATGACGGTCTTTACCCGTTTTGTGTTTTTTTTGACGTTTTTTGACAAGATCTTCAACAAGTCATCATGACTGAAATTTCTGTTCGATCCCTTTAATGACGATTTTAACCCATTGTTGTGGGTTTTTGTGGAAACTAACATAGACAGAGTGAAACGGCAAACATTATCAGCAGGACAAGATCTACAACAAAGTCACAATGCCAATCTCATCAATTGACTGAATATATGAGTTTTATTCCTTGAAGGACGATTTTTATCCATATTAAGTTGGTTTGGTTGGTGTTTTTTTTTCCGACATTTTAGTGGATAGATAATGGGGAAAAAATCAAAATCAGCTGCATGACTTTGTCTACTTATAAGTCAACATGGATGAAATCGGCAGTCTATACCTTATGGGAGTTTATGTCCTTGAATGGATTTTACATATTTCTTTTTGTGGAAACTATAGTAAATAGATAAAAAAAAAACTGTTGCAGTAATTACCAAAAATGATCAGAAGGGCAAGATCTTGAAAAACGTCTACATGGCTGAAATAGTCCGCTGACTCCTTGTACAAGTCATTGCCCATGAATGACATGCTTTGTGGAAACTAAAGTAGTTAGAACGAAACTTTCAGAAACTAGCAAAAAGATCAACAGAACAAGATCTACTAATAAATCAACATAGTCGAATAACTACTGTAAAATCTTTACCGTATTAGCGTGTTTTCTTCTCTCGAAAACTATAGATGATAGATAAATACTTTAAGTAACCAAAATAAGCAACCAATAACGATCCACAAATAAGTCAACATGACCGAAATATCAAAAGAATCTTTTTAAGAGTTAATGTATCCCATTCTTTCTTTTTTGCTAGAAACTATGGAAATGTTCTTATTGCATTGTATCAGTATTATGCAAAAATGCCAGATGAGTAACACATGCTTGGAGTCTCTAGTGTTCTATATCGACACAGGTCACGACCACGCTAAATTTTGGTGCAAACGACGTAGAAATGTCCACTTATTAGAACAAGATGAGGACAGTTGTCAATCCAAATATTAAACTCAGAGTGTGGAATTCTTCATAATTTTGATCTTTCGATTATTATTCTTAACTTCGGGTATTACAGCACTTTATGAACATGGAAATAGATTTTAGATAACTATCAATAAAATAACGATAGGTATATATGGTGCGGGGTTTCTCGCTGTGTTGAAGACCCACTGGTGGCCTTGGGCTGTTTTCTGCTCGTTGGTCGGGTTGCTGTCTCTTTGACACATTCCCCGTTTCCATTCTCAATTTTATGAAGACATGTTTAAGTTATTACGGATCCTCCCTTTTTTCATTTTCGTTATATCTTTCACCAAGGATTTGTATAGTAAGATAAAAATCTTTGCTTTCACGCATGTCCATTCCCATTGTTGAACATAAATAAATCATTCAGAAAGAAATCTGTTCATTTTTTTTTATTTGGCTTTGAGAAATCTGATCTAAAATTTTCCTAAAGGTGCACAGAAAAAAAGGTCTAGCCTACTGTTACATTATACAATATGTCGTATTCGCCTAGCCTACTGTTACATTATACAATATGTCGTATTCGTCTAGCCTACTGTTACATTATACAATACGTCGTATTCGTCTAGCCTACTGTTACATTATACAATACGTCGTATTCGTCTAGCCTACTGTTACTTTATACAATATGTCGTATTCGTCTACCCTACTGTTACTTTATACAATATGTCGTATTCGTCTACCCTACTGTTACTTTATACAATATGTCGTATTCGTCTACCCTACTGTTACTTTATACAATATGTCGTATTCGTCTAGCCTACTGTTACATTATACAATACGTCGTATTCGTCTAGCCTACTGTTACTTTATACAATATGTCGTATTCGTCTACCCTACTGTTACTTTATACAATATGTCGTATTCGTCTACCCTACTGTTACTTTATACAATATGTCGTATTCGTCTAGCCTACTGTTACTTTATACAATATGTCGTATTCGTCTAGCCTACTGTATTCGTCTAGCCTACTGTTACATTATACAATACGTCGTATTCGTCTAGCCTACTGTTACATTATACAATATGTCGTATTCGTCTAGCCTACTGTTACATTATACAATATGTCGTATTCGTCTAGCCTACTGTTACATTATACAATACTTCGTATTCGTCTAGCCTACTGTTACGTTATACAATATGTCGTATTCGTCTAGCCTACTGTTACGTTAAACAATATGTCGTATTCGTCTAGCCTACTGTTACGTTATACAATATGTCGTATTCGTCTAACCTACTGTTACATTATACAAAATGGCGTATTCGTCTAGCCTACTGTTACATTATACAATATGTCGTATTCGTCTAGTCTACTGTTACGTTATACAATATGTCGTATTCGTCTAGTCTACTGTTACATTATACAATATGTCGTATTCGTCTAGCCTACTGTTACATTATACAATATGTCGTATTCGTCTAGCCTACTGTTACATCATACAATATGTCGTATTCGTGAACGTTTATCTGGTAAAATGGCAAACTTTGTAAATAATTTTGGGAGCCAAATGTTTTTCATTCTTCTTAAACTAGAAAAGTCGAATTGAACTTATCACGGTACAACTTTATGATCGATTTTGTATGGCTTCTTTATCTTCTTTTTTTACTGAAAAAAAAATGTAAGCTGTTCAACAATTTAGCATGGAAACCAGGTCCTACAATTGTATGAACATAAACTCAATGTTTTAGTTTGTCGGTCCTTGATTTTTTAAATTATTTTTTACTGCCCTCTATAAAACGTTTTATTATATTCACTAAATTAAATGGTAAGAAAGATGCACGTGCATATATCATTAGCCTGTTTCAGAATCAGTTTATCGTTTATAAGAGATATCCACGGCCCTAGATAAATTTCCAACCCTTGTTTCTTCGTTACGCGATGGGCTCCTATCATAATCATTGGCATTTTGTTTACATACCCCTTTGACGTCATTTTGGTGTGCGATAAGTCGCATACAAGAAGCTCAAAGTGTAAATTTGTAGGGTTATTTGTCCTTCCTTTCCTATTTAAATGAAACGAACTGATTTATTCTATGTTATCGATAACGTGTTACACAATAAAATTGTTTATCATATATGTAATATAAAATAGCTTGAGTTGTAAACAGTGTACATGTCCTGCCTATAAAATCGCGACCATTGTAATTTGATTCAAAATTTCCTAACAGTATATTACCATGAATGAATTTCATTAATTATGATTTACAGGAAATGCAAACAGTAGATAGTGATTTGCCGCACATAAAATGTTTTACCCATTCAAAAAGTAAATTTACCTGTCCCAAGCCAGGAGCCTGTAGTCTAATAAATGTTGTGCGGTGCTGTCTGCAATATTTGTTTTTCAATGATTGTTTAACAAAATATCAAATTATGTGGATTAATTTTTTGTTCTGTTATCATTTTTTTCGTATTCAAGGCAGTATTGTCACAGCATTAGAAGTACGTGTTTTTCCGTTTATTTCTATTGAACGTCGTGTAGGCATATCAATTTTTATTAAACTTTTAAATTGTGTTTTTATTTCGGAGTTTATATTTGTGAATATAGTAGCAATGTCAACGAGTACTCGAGTATTCGAGTATCGCTCGGTCGTACCGAGTATCGAATACCAAAATGATACTCGACTAATCGGTTTCCTGTTAGAATGTTGTTGCCATCTTAAAGAAAAGATATTTTCACTAAGAGCGCCTCCCGGGAAATTAAATATTAATCAAAATTAATCAAAATTGAAATACGTTTCGAATGTTTGCGTTTATTTGTCATTCAAAATTCCCTCGAACAGAGGTAGACTATGAACAAGAGCACCTTTCCAATGCTTACCTTTTTAGCTAATCGTGTCTTCGTTATTCCACCACCTCTGTACCGTAAGAGCAAATATTTTCATCGGCAGGACTGTTAGTTACGTAACAAAGTTGAGAAATCGACTCGTCCCAGAAAAAGTTGACAAGATAATATTTCCAATACAAAGAAGAACAAATTCGTTGTCGACCCTCAGAGGATAAAAACAGAAATTTTTATACGTGTGCATGCAAAACAAATTTATTGGTAGAGAGGTCTAAATACAGCACACACAACATTTTCCAAAAGACCAAAAAAGTGAAAAAGTATAATTAAACACAAAAAATGCATTTGACTAACAGGTCGAACAACGGATGTTCTTAAACCCTGCTGACTGCCACTGGCGATTTCCAAATGAACGGATCACAAGATGTAACAAAATTGATCTTTATTATTAATTTAATACCAAACAGAAAACAATACACTTGCGGAAAAGATGGTATACCGCAAACATGAGGTAAATATATGGAGAAAGTTTGTCATAAAATTGTCACGTTTAAACGTGTATAATAAAATTAAAATTTGATGTGGCGGCATGGTAATTCATATTATCATCCTTTACGACTGACAAAAATAGCTGATCTGAAAGGTACACCATCTACTTGTCACTATACATCATGTACTGTGTTACA